GCAGAGAGCTACATCAATGTTTACCAAACAAGGTTAATTCCATGCTATAAAATGGTGATGTATTTGGCCGTGGAACTGAAGTTCCTAATTCAATTTCCTCTGATTGATCATCCCAAAGTTGAGTATTTTTCAAGTCAACTCTATTATCATTTCTGTTCTTTGAAATTGGAATGGACCACAGCTTCCCGAGTCACGTTGTTAAAACCGATATCTCGGCTTCTTTCAAGAAACAGTTGGCTGAGATCTTTGGATCTTTGTACCAAGAAAATACAAAGACTTTCAAAGGCCTTGCCTAAGAGTTAAAATAATTTCAAAGGTGAACATTCCTGTTGCCTCTAATATTGTCTTTTAAATGGATGGAAATGTTCCAACTAATGCACAGGAGCTCCTGATTTTAAATAATAGTCAGTAGGATAGATTGCTAAATCTCAGTGTTGATATAGACTGATTTTGCTGATTTCCATACCTGGAAATGTGGGACTGCATCTTTAGATGTTTCTATCCAAGATGTTGCTCTCTGTCTGCCTTGAAGGATGATTGATAACACTTATGGCAGAATAAGAGTGTGCTTTTGATATGATCTGGATTAGCCTGCCCTCTGAATCTTCTTGTGTTTATGAAGAGTGAACGACCTTTTCACATTCATCTGAAATTACATCTCTCAAAATGTTTTGCATGTCTGAAACGCACAAGAGTTTTGCTGAATAGATTTGGTTACGTAGGTTAATTGTTCAAATAGCTGAAGCTGTAGGAAGCATTTTTAGTGAATATGTCTTTGTTTTGAGTTGCCTTTTCTGTTGCCAGTTTTTAAAATGCATTTTATTTATTAATCTTGGTGATGCAATGTGTATAGCAGTATAATATCGGACATTTACTGTGGTGCTTGAAAATGTTATCTTGCACTTTCTGAATCTAGCTAGCTAGGGTAATGGTGGAAATTGTTTGCATTCAACACTTACCTCTTGCATATTTTAGACGTCTTCATCTTTCTGTTAAGCTTTGCTCTAGCATTGTGTTAAAAATGAGTGTGAGCTTGGAACCTTTTAACTATCTTAATTGAACAGCAGCAGTTTTAATTTGAATTTGATTAAAACAGTGGTTGCAGTCCTGTAGTCTTAGCAATTTGTGGAATTAAAGATGCTTCACTTTTCAGAATTTTCTCTTAAGACTTGCTCTCCTTCTGTAAAGCTCCAGCGCTTACGGTTCTCTGCCAGTAATTCGGCGCCAGTGAAGGATTTCTTTTTCATCCGGGCACCACAAAGCTGCTTACTGTGGGGCGGGGTGGTGATAACGCGGACCACAAACGTGCGAAGGCCACAAACCAGGGCTACACCATGGCTACACCATGGAGGAGCCTCCTGTCCACTGCAGGACAGCGAGAGCACGGGACCAAGTTACAGATGCCAGTAAATCTAGTCGGCTTTGGAATGTGTAAAGGAACAAGCACACTGCAAAAAAAAAATGTTGATATGGGAAGAAAGCGCAGACATTGGCCTAGTCCAGACTCGGGCCTATGAGTTGATGGAGCAGTGTCAACAGACTCCCTGGATTGCTTTTAGGGGTGGGTTTAAGGGTTTGCTTTTTGTTTTAATCCTTATTTTGGAGTATGTCCTTTCAAAGTGATGAAACTAAACTAGAAGGAGGTGTTGCTGAACGTTTCCCCACTTCCATTTTAGTTTTCCATTTAGTCGTTCCCTTAGCTTGATGTGGTCTTTTAACATGACAGGGCCCTGCTGCCACAGTCTCCATGGGAACCGCGCTCTCTGCTGGGCGATTTGTCTCGGTTCTGTGTGTGTGTGCGTTTGTGTGTGTGTGTGCAGGTTTCTAGGCCCTGCCCCGTGATACTGCATGTTTCGAAGATGGCCATCCAGACACAGAGCAAGCACGGGCCAGGTTAGCGTCAGGGGACATTCAGAGGTCAGATTTTCAGTTTGTAATAGTGTCCAGCAATAGGCAAAAAATGGAGTCCAATATTTCTTGTGAAATAGAAGGCTAGACTTGGGTGTGTTTTCTTTCTACAAGGGTATACTACTTCCATTTTGTCTGGGTGTCCAAAACTCTCGCAGGACATGGAGAAATGTTTGCAGTTATCCTGCTCTTAAGGTGAAAAGTGTTTCTTTTTGCATGTGGAATGAAAGAGACATAAGTCTTGCGTTCACTTGTCTTCACACATGTTAATATGTCCTGTAGTCCCTGTTAATCCTATAAAAATAGTCTTTTGCGTAAGGCATGGTCTCATCAGTCCTCTGTTTTGCGAGTTTGACTGTCTCTTTCTCGCGAGCTCGTTCTGCCTTAGGATGGTGCTGGTGCTTGGGTGTTGTTTCAGTCAGGTAGACCAGACCCGTCTTCGGAGGTGGTCTTGAGACTCTTGTGGCTATAATGTTTTCATTAGGAACGTTATAGGATCAGGTTAATATCAACCCTGGCGAGAGGAGTACAGAAACCTGGTTGGTATAGGTCTAAGGAGCAAGTGAGGGTTAATATCAGCTGTGTCAGTGTGTGCTGGCTGCAGATGAATAAGTAAAAGTTAATACCTCTTTCTAATAAAAATAGAAAGAACAAACCCAGAATTTCAGTTAGCGGGCCTTCATAAGGTGTGCACAGTGGCTCAGCAGGCCAGAGCTCCTCCTGAGAGCGCACAGCTCCTTCCTGGATGGGACACCTCCCAGCACCTTCATTAACGTGAGAGATTTTAGGCATTTATTCTGGGAATTTTAGAATGTAGTCTATTGACTTGGGCCTGTATTAGCTATGATGTCTAGAATCACTATTGCCTGGTGTTACTGTGTAATGATAATTCGGTCCCCAGCACTGGGGCAGACTCATCCTTTACTGCACTGTGTGCTCCAGTTAAAGACTAGTAGGCTATTTGTGTTTATTAATGTTCTTCTCCTGCATTGTTTAGTAGTATCCCTGTGAAAGGTTGATCCAAAAACGCCTCAAAATATTGGAGGAGGTGTTTTCCTCTTGGACTTATTGAATCCCTGGACTATGTGGTCATTTTCCTGATTTCCAGTTTTCTTTGCCTCTTCCAAACTGTGGCTGTACAGTACCTGAGTTGAATTTGTGACTTTGCGTTTCGGAGGCTGAAAATGGCAGCCGTTTTTTTTGTGCCGGAGAAATTGCTATCTGTCCATGAAGTTGCACCGTACTTGTTGAACAATTTGTATTACGCAAAGGTTTTTGTTTTTTTACCTGAAAAGCTTAAGAGATACTGGTGCAAGTGGAGCTCTGGTGACTGTTCAGGTTTAGCTTTTAAAACGAAGCAGGGGAACTGGGGGGAGCAGGTTCAATCTTGGCGCGATAGCCTATAGCCTCCGGTGCGATGGGGCTGCTCATTAAAGGTTACAGCCCTGGAGTAGCCTGCATGCGTCTGTGTCTGCCTGCTGCTGCCTGATGGGAAGCCGTGGGCTGATGGGAGCACTGACTGCAGCCCTCGGAGCCCGGCGGAGCCTCGCCCAGCTCGTTAAGGATGCGAGGCAGCGCTGAGCTTTCTGAAAGGCCGTCTGCTCACAAAAGAGCAGCTCCCAGCTGAGTGGAGGGCCCTCCCATCTGCTGACCGCTGTCCCCTCTCCGACTCCGAAATCCAACCCCGGGCAGCAGTATCCTGTCCAAGGGAAGGGGAGGCAGCAGGGGGGGTTGAATATCAAACGCAGAGCCAAGCACGGGGGGTTTTCTGCTGAAACGTGCCTTCGCAGTCGTCATCCGTGTTTGCCGCCTGTACAGAGGAGGATCAGATGAAAAGCGCAGCAGGCTCGCGTTCGTAGAGGCGTGTGTAAAAAAAAAAAAAGAAGAAGAAAAATCGCACACTTGCACACAAACTTGCTGCTGCATCCTCAGAAATGATTGTGCCTAGATCTGTGGTAATTAGCTTAGGTGTACCATCAAGGGGTGTGTGTGTGTGTATGTGTGGGGGGGGGGGTTGAAATCAGATTTATATGCAGGAAGAAAACGCACCTCTCCACTGGCACTGGCTGCAAGGCGATGATGTCATCTTGCAGCTGATTGGCCCATTCGGCCTCCAAGGGAAGGGGAGGAAGAAAGAGGAGAGAGAGAGAGAGAGGGGGGGAAAATGCCGGCACGAGCCTGAATGGTGCTTTCAGTGTGTGGGAGCTACAGGCAGGAGCCTCGGCCGATCTGCAGATTTGGGGCTCTGGGATCTACCTCGCCTGGCCATGTGAGCTGTTGGCAGGACAGCAGCGTGCGCAGGGCCCGTTGAAAGCCCTCGATTTCTGTTTCTGGGGGGGGGGGGTGTTCAGAGGGATGAGGCGCCTGATCTGCAAGAGGATCTGCGACTGTGAGTTGCGGGAGGAGCTGGGTGGACTGGAGGGGCTGCTGGAAGGTGTGGGTGGCTGTGGAGCCGGAGAGACGGCGGTGGGGTGGGGTGTGGGGTGGGGGAACCCGTCCGGCTCTCTCTTTGCATGTTTTCCGATGCCCGGGTCTCGCAGGGCTGCTGTCATGCTGGGCTGCGGTCTATTGTTTTATGCAGCGCGTAGGCAGTCACGGTGACAGGAGCCTGTCTGCGCTCGACAGCTCGCTGTTGGGCTGCTTTCGTTTCTGTCCTGCCGGTGAGGCGGGGGGGGGGAAGGGGTTTTGGGGGGGTACCACCTCGGTGAGCGCCTGCATTGCGTGCCTTCGCACGTCGGGGAATTGGGATTGTTTGGAAATGCTGTGCATTTCCACCATGAACTGTCCATTTCAATGCAGTGAAAGTAAGGGTGTGTTACAGGGAAAGATCCCTGGTGTCACAAGGTGCACAAAAACAATCCAGTTTGTAATTTTTCTAAATTGGATTGAATGTGCCCGAATGCTGATTTGTCCTGAAGGGCCTATTGGAAAAGGATGATTGTAGCGGGTAATTACTATTGATCACTCCCCCACCAAACACACACACACACACCCTCCTCCTCTGCTCTCTCTGTTGTGGCTCAGTAACTGCAAACAGGCAGTTTTTTTTCCCCTCTAAAGACCTTCCCTGCTTTTGTTTTTTTTCCCCCCAGACAAAAGCTTCGATGACGACGAGTCTGTGGACGGGAACAGGCCCTCGTCCGCCCAGTCCGCGTTCAAGGTTCCTGCGCCGAAACGGCCCGGCAACCCCAGTGGCGGTTCCCGGAGGCCCAGCGCCACGGCCGGACCCAAGATCGGAGGTAAACCCGCCGGCCTTGTGCGTTCCCAGCAGCCCCCCGGCACCAGAGCGGCCCGTCTCGGAGGAGCCTCTGCGATTGGACAGGTCCTCTCAAGCCCTGTGTGTTCCCAGTAGCCCCCAGCAGCGGAGCGGCCCATCTCAGAAGAGGCTCTGCGATTGGTCAGGTCTTCTCAGGCCCTGGCCATTCCCAGCAGCCCCCGGCACTGAAGTGGCCCTGTGTGGCCCACCGCTGTGATTGGTCAGGTCCTCTCGGGCCCTGTGTGTTCCCAGTAGCCCCCAGCAGCGGCGCGGCCCGTCTCAGAGGAGGCTCTGCGATTGGTCAGGTCCTCTCGGGCCCTGTGCGGCGCTCCTCTGCAATTGGTCAGGTCCTCTCTGGCCCAGGGCGTTCCCAGCGGCCCCCCATGCACCGAACCGGCCCGTCTCGGAGGAGGCTCTGGGAAAGGTCCTCTCCTTGTCTTCACTGCGCAGTCACCTCGGTACAGCTTCGTCGATCGGCCGCGATGGGCGATTTCAGAGCCCGAATAACAGAACCAGCCGGGTGGCCAGAGTGGTGTACCTCTGGATCACGACCATCACACACACAAAATTACACAAACTTGTAAATTGACAACATGCTCTAGCATACTTTTAAATCCGTTATGGTTGCAGTTAAAACCCTTTCCTTCTTTGCCTTTAGATTTTTTTGTGAATTGATTAATTCTGGGTTTTTCTTTATGGTAATGAAGGGACGGGTAATGTAGATTGTTTGTGATTGATAAATCTGGGCAAATTCCACAATACAGCCCAACAATGCAGATGGCTACTGCAGATTAGAGCCCTGCTGCACAGCAGGGAAGAAATGGCAGATATTGGATTTAACTAGAGATGTCTGGATCAGTATCCACCCATTTTGCTGGTTATCGAAACTGGTTTAATAGCCACTTTCTAAAGTGTTCTTTATGCTTGCATTACAACTGATTAAAAATTAATTGACCCCTCCAATTTTCTGACTGAGATTAGAGAGCTGTTTTGTTTTCTTGTTGTATGTATTGAACGGCTTTACGGATCCTACTTTCCTGTAGATTCTTTTTGGTAGACTGGCCATGTGAAGTTGTCTGATTGAGGTCGGGTCAAGTCTTAAAATCCTGTGTCCTCAGTCTTGTGAAGTAAGAGCATCCGACTCACAGGGCAAGGAGACTGTACTGTTAATATAATCGAATATTTTGGCAAAATCAGCAGTTCAGTGTGAAAAAGCTTTTAAATGGCGCCAGTTAAGTTGGATTGCAGATTTCAAAATTAACCTTTAAATAGTCCTTTACACTGAAAGTTGTTCCTTTACAACTTTTCATGTCATTTGGTAATCTAAATGTAGGAGAATCTAACAAAAAGTAAAGGTTATATTAAACTGAAGCTTAACTTGGCCTTGTTACAAGGGTTAAGGTCTTAATAATGTTCTTCATGAAAGCCATGAACTTGAACTCTCATGCTAGCACACAGTTCTAACTTTGAAGTGGTTCTTTGCCTCTAATGTCTCTTATTTCTTTGGTATTGAAAACATGTTTCATGTTTATTTTTATGATGCTGAGGAGTTATTTAGATAATGAAATATGCACTATGCAGTTCTTGTCTTTGAGCAGGTTTGCAGACCCTGAATTTATGCATCTCAATGGAGAAGCTACAGTATGACTCAGGCAGCTCAAGATTTTCATCTTGTCTGTTGCTCTGCCTGTGTGCTTTGACAGTGGATAAGAAGGGACGTCACATTCAGTGTCTATTATGTCCTCTCGCCAAGAGGTGGGATGAAGGACGAAGCAGGTGTGCCGATTTGTGGTATGCAATAACATTTAGGAATCTTTTCAAACCTGTCAAAAGGTTTTAACTTTTTTAAAGGTTTTAATTTCCCTCTCATAAAAACCGAATACGTGGCAGATTTCCTTCCAAATAGTGTTTTGCAAGTATTGAATGAACAACCAGATTGAGTGAGTGCGGACAACGGTTTTCAGTGAGTTTTCATGTTAATTACCTTTTTATAGTCATGGAGCTTTGTGAACAGTACGTTTTAAAGCGTGTTCAGTGTCCTCTATTCAGTTACATTCCACAAACCTACGCATGCTGCTCTTTGAAGCATATGGGGGTGAAATTCAATTAACGTGTTCAATAACTTCCTTTTAAAACCTCTGTACTGCCTTGAATGCAGCAGTTAACCCGGAAGGATCCTGTCTTTAAGGGAGCCCCTTTGTGGAAAATCGTATAATTTGAGACGTTGGTGATCAAGCATGTACTCTAGTGTAGGGACTTTCAGATCGACTCTTGAGTGGGTGTCATGAAAGTAGCAGCGTGCTGTCAGAGTAGAAAGGGGATTAGGTCACGTTTTTGTTCTTGACGTTTGATGAGAAAGAGGCTCCTGTGGGCTTGCGGTGATGTCAGTGACTGACATCCTGCTGCTCCTGTCACCATTAACTCGCCTGTTAGGCGCTATGGGGATCATGGAGGGCATCAAAAGACTCGTGACTCTGAGAGGTGAGCACGACAAAGACTCTCTCAAGAGGATCCCGCTCTCCCGGCATTGGACAGAAGTTCTCACCTCAGGCCGAGTCTTAAAATTCCAGTTAAACATTTAAGGTTCCTTGTGAATCTCGGGCTTCAATCTCGCCTGCAAGATCACTATGAAACTCCCCCTCTGATGATGATGATTCCACAGAGAACACCTGCTCTTCTTTGAACTGTGTGACGATCTTGCCTGATATTGCTTTGGGTCCCGAGTTTGCCACCGTTTTAAATTCTGTCCTCCAAATCTCAGGATTAACTGTAAATGGTCGCCCTGAGTGTACTGAACCTTTGTTTCCATTTCCACGAATGCGTGATAAATTCCAACACTGTGGATTTATAATGGCAATATGAGCTACCTGGGATCATGATTAAACTTGAGGATACCATCAATTTGTCAAATCAAAATGTAAAACTCTTATTACCATAGTTTTTTTGTGGAATGCATTTTTTGGTAAAATACTACTTAAAGGAAAATTATTATTAGAGTATACATTTCAGATGTTCAGAATTTTAGGAGAGCTCAAGGGGATAGTAGTGTAGAAATTAAAGTCTGAAAGAATTTTCTAATGTTGACCCCCTTGCCTGTGGAGGACTCTTCCTGTAAATGTAGCATCTTGTCTCTTTAAGACAGGCTAGAAAGTTCCCTATATTTTCACAGACTTTAATTTCCGTTCTAGTTGAAGTTATTGATAAGGCCTTTATCTTCACTCATAATGGCTTATAACCGTGAATAGTGCAGTTTAGTTGCGTACAAAAGTGGGTTAGTGCTCTCGATCATAAGCTATTTATGTATGAAGGTGAGGGATAGCTTAGGGAGCTTTTTAAGGCTGAATTCTTTCACCAAATTCTAAAGTGATCAAATCAAAACAATTAACATGCAAATCAATTTTCAGGATTTTCCATCAAACGTGTTTTGAACAACATGTTTGTTTTCAATCCATGGCACTGCAGTTGTCTTTGTGTTCAGACATACTGTTCTGCCATTGCTTCTCAGTAAGTACAGCATTGCATCATCTCGAGTAGTCTCGAGCTATCGGTGGTAAGTGTGTTTCTCTTGAGACTTTCGTCTTGCCTACGTCGTCTTCAGAAGTGTGTGGGTTGGTACAGCTGTGTTCATTGCGTAGTGTCCATTTGTCCAGGTGGCTCCATACTGGCCCTGCGCTCTGAGGAAGGAAATGCCCTTTCTGTAGATGAATGGGTTCAGTTTTATTTGTAGTTGTTGTTTTAATTGCTATTTGACAATTATGGGCCAGCTGCAATGTGCAGTCGTTCATTTGGTTCTTCCTTCAGGATGAGTCCGAAGGTAATTTTTTCATTAGCCTGAAGACCAGCAGACGAGTATTCCTCCAGAACATTCATGGTGAGGAGTAACTCAGAATAGTTTTTAAATACTGAAATATTGAGGTTCTTGTTTCATTTGTTGACCCTAAACCTCTAGCGAAAGAACTGTATAGAAAGTTAATTTGTAAAAAGAATGTGCTTTTATGCTCTTTTTAGTCTAACATCAAATCTTGCCAAAGTGTCAAGAGGCACAGAGCTTCATCTGGCTTTTCTTTTCTCACCAGGTTCTTTATATGCTTTTTCTTTGCTGAATCTAAGATTTCTAAGAATCTAGTGTGGTAGAAATGTCTTGCAATTGACTGCAGGCCATTGTGTATTTAGGCAGTGTTAATATCAGGCCCATGTCATCCCTGGTGAGGAGCCCAGCCCATTCGCATTGAATCTTTTGTGCTTCACGATTATTCGAATGTGTTTTGTGGGTTTTCCTTTTTGTGGCTTTTAAGTGCTAAGAAAAATAATAACTCTTGACAGTATCAACAGAGGACAGAAAGAATGCAAGAAAAATGTCAGCAAAATGGAGGCTGGATATGTGGGTCAGAACCTGCCAGGATACCGTTGGGCTTGGCAGTGATGTGTCTTGATCACCTGGTTGTGTGCAAACCCTCTGCTTAGTGGCATATGCTTTATGGGATCTGTGCTCCATTGACTGTGGGGGGGGAAATGGAAGCCAGCCTCAAGCTAAAGGAAACCAGACGTCTAGCCAGATAGTTTCCAAAGGGCAGTTCGGTGCTCTGTGGCTTAAAATAATTGACATTCGCTGGGCGCCGTACCAAGAAAATAGTGTGCTGGGGATCAATAGATGACAAGCAAATGTCACACGTTTTCCAAAGGGAAATTCAAAGTGTTCAAATAAGGACAAAACAGCTTATGTTCCTTGCCTAACGAATGGAGTGTTAACCGGCTTTTGCAGATTGTGATTCAGTTATTGACCATTTTCTTAACAGGTCTTAAATTGTTCTAGTTGAATTCCCATGTTCTAAACCTGTTTGTTGAAAGCAATCCTTATTCCTTTGGGGAACTTGCATACCAGTTTAGTCTTCAGGTTTTTCATCTGAGTGTTAAATGTCTCCTTTATTTTCAGAAGATTCTTAAAGATTATCGATCACATGTATCCTGAATAAAATGAAAGCAGATTTGAATAGATGCTTCTAATTATGGACTGCACAATGTGATATGACTTCTGTTTAAAATGAGTATATCACCTCTCAAAATTCATTAATTTTTTATTTTAGATTATCTTTCATAATTTCGTAACAACCAAAATATACAGAACTAAGTTCTAAGTCTTAAGTTCTGATGAAAGTCATTTTTATTTGGACAGATATGTAGCCATTGACCCAGGTGATAATCTTGGAGCACTCCAAAGCTTTTGGTGGCCTGGGTTTGACTAGTCTTGGTTACTATTAGGGCTTTCTGTTGAACGTGTCTGGGACGTGGCTGGATTCTGGATTCCCGAGTTGTCCAAATGAGGATGCTTTAACAAACCAATTGACAAACCCATTAACTTCAAGGATCTTTTTATTTCATGCATCCAGGGGCAGAACAGTCTCCCCTTGAGTGGGGCCTGGTCACTATTTTGTTCTGTATTGGATTGTACGTTTGGAGAAATATTTGGATTGTGTATTTGGCGGAAAGGTATCCCCTTTCTTGACAGCCCTCTGATTTCCCAAGCTTTCAGTAATTTAGAAAAAGACTCTTCACTTGCCAGCTGTAGTCTGTAGGAAGTATCTGTTCTCTTGGTGGCATCAGTGATGACAGTAAGCCCGTGCTAATTCAGTATCTGGTGGGGGACATGGTTGCCCCTATTTCTTTTGCATCTCAGACTTAACTGAACCTTCAAAAAATAACCTTTCCGGTCACCCTCAGGTTGTCCACCGTGAATCGGACATCTAACAAAACCAGCTGTTGAATTCTCACTAAAGTCAGTCTCTATCAAGTAATGGAGGTTAAATGCCCTTTCCCACTCACACTGTTTGTGTGCTTTACCTGCAGGTCAGTCCAAGGAAGGAGCAGGTGCAGTTGATGAAGATGACTTTATCAAAGCATTCACAGATGTTCCCACAGTACAGGTGAAGCACTTTTGCATTTTGTATATGTTGCAGTTTGTTAATTGAGAGACAAGTGCCATATCCTGACTGTCAGCTTTTAAAGTGAAAACATGTTTCTGCACAATAAAGGCAAACTGTTTTAGGCAGGATTCAGTATACATAAAGTAATACTTTGATTCGATTAAAGGGGTTATTGTAGATTAGAGTGTCACGTCAGTACTAAGGCTCTTAGTATGATAGCAGTGTACTTGAGCAGATTTATGTGATCTGGAAACCGATGCAATGGGTATAGAGTAAAGCATTTATCATGCTTTTTGCTGGAATGTGTCAGATGCTTTCAAGAGTGTAATATTATTTGGAAAGTTTAAGGTGTAAGAATTCTAAGACGTTTTCAAATCAAAACATTCTCACTTCTCGCCTTCTCATTATGCAGTTCGATCAGCTGTGTTACAGTTATATCTAATATCAAGTCCACTCACTGTTGAAGTGTGTTATTCTGACCTGAGTGTATGCCTCTTCAGTATTGCCTTTGTCTCCAGTCCTATTTCAGTAACCGTAAAGTATATGGCTTTACTAGAGAAGGTTGGGGTCTAACATTGTCTGCCTCTTCCTTGAGTCAGTCGTCCCTTCTCATGTTTGTGTCCCAGATTTACTCCAGCAGAGACCTGGAAGAGAATCTGAACAAGATTCGTGAAATCCTCTCGGATGACAAGCATGACTGGGATCAGAGAGCCGGTGCGGTAAGTTCTTCAGTTCCTCTTCAGATAGATGGGAGGCTAGCAGCTGGTGCTCTTCCAGAAGGACCATTATTCCAGCTGTTGGCAGCTGGAGGTTATCTGCTTATAATACGAGTGACAAACTCCCATGATCCCGCAAAGAGCACAGGAGTTTGCTCATTCTTTGTAGAGGGGCCTGATCATGGAAGTAGCAGTGACCCAACTTGATTTTAGCCCCAGTGGTTCACATTTAAAGCCAAAAGGTGTTTAATTGCCCTTTCTTTTTCAAACACATTTTTCTCCTGTCTCTTTTTGTTTGTAACACACCTGGGAGACGGAAGATTTTAGTTTTATCGGATTGCTGCAGCCATTTATCCCTGGTAAAAAAAAAAAATCAAATCCAAAGTTTTTTTTGGCAGTCAGGTTAGACTTCAGTGCTGGTTATCACTGAAGACATGTTTTTCACATACAGGCTTGGTTGTAGCTGTAGGACTGTAGAAGAGAATTAAATGCAGTTCCCTTAAAGTAGTTTGTGAGCATTCACTGCAGCATGGGTTCTTTATTAAGATGTATTTTATTTAAAATCTGTTGAAGACGTTGGGATTTTAAACATTGTTTTGCCATTTACTCCTGCGGGACTGGCATTGTGTTCAAGTCATCGTGATGCTCAAAGAATGTCTTGCCCCTGCATTCGAAATCCGAAATCCCTGCAACATCTGCCCAGTGATTCAGTGTGATGGTACTCCTTAATTCATACAGGCTGAAATAGGCGTAGGATCTTACAGAGAACATTTTAGGTCTTCTATAGAAATGTAGTGCGGAACAGTAAAGAAATCGTGCTGCAGTGCTGTATGAAACTGTTGATGGGCGAGTACAGGAATATTTTTGTGTTGCGCCTCAGCTCAGAATTCCCCAGGCATGACTTCAGAGGATTACTAGTTGCTGGATTTTGTTGCACATGAAAACAGAGCTCTTGAAAATTCTCGAATAAAGATTTCTTAGGCCATCGATTCCCTGGTTGAGACGTAGCAATGACACTTTTGACAACTGCTATTAACTGCTGAGGTGTGATTAGTCATGATTTAGTTAGTGTGCACAGTGTCAATGTTTTATATCTAATCTCCATGTTGACTGCTTTCTTTTTCCCAGCATTATAACCAGTCAAATCACAATCTTTTGGGTTTCTTGCCTACAGCTTTTAAAATTAAACATTGACTTTTGGGCAGGACTGCAGCACTGCAGTAACAAGTAACATTAAGAGGCCCTGGGGGTTATGAGCTTGCTTGTGTGTTTTTGACCCCTGTGAGGACATTTTGACTGTCGAGTTTTCCTTCCGCAGCTGAAAAAGGTCCGCTCTCTGCTGGTCGCTGGGGCCGCGGACTACGACTGTTTTTACCAGCACCTGCGGTTGCTAGATGGAGCTTTCAAGTTGTCAGCCAAGGACCTGCGCTCCCAGGTGGTGCGGGAGGCATGCATCACTGTGGCGTGAGTGACTCCAGGCGCCGGGATCTCGGGGGACCAGGGGGCGGGTTTGCGCTGCGTGACGTTTATGAGGGATGCTGTTCCGGAGCTTGAGCTGGCCGTTCTGATCAGGAACCAGCTGCGCTTTCTTCTGCAGTCTTTTTTTTTTTTTAATTTTCTTCCCGTGTGCCTTTGCCGCATGGCTTACGATCAGTCTTTTTTTTTTTTAATCGAAACGAGAAGTAGAATATTGCACAGAACAGACTGCGTGATATTGACATGAATTCACAGCTGATGCTCCTCGTGCCTCGGCTCTTGTCCGGTTGTGACCCCCCCCGAGGAAGAAAGGTAGTGGTTTGTCCAGCTGCTACAGGGGTTATAACACCCAAGAAGTGAGGAGGTGGAGGGGGGAAGGTTGTTTTCCTAACAAGGTGGTTGTGCTTTTCAACAGCCATCTTTCCACTGTTCTGGGCAACAAGTTCGACCACGGGGCTGAAGCCATTGTGCCTATTCTGTTTAACCTGATCCCCAACTGCGCCAAGGTCATGGCGACATCAGGCGTGGCAGCGATCAGATTCGTCATCCGGGTGAGTGTCCCCAGGGTGTGGCTCCGCCGGGGCCCTTCAGCCTTCAGAGCTTTGCAGCCACATTTCTAGCCTGGGCTCAGATCCTCTGATCGGGCCGTTCGTGCCTCTCCCCCAGTGCTCTTTTGCGACTTAAAGATTACGATATGATTAGTAAACTGATGTCAGTAGAGATTAATATTAGGCGGAGCGGTGGCTCTGTGGCTCAGGATCTGCGCCTGTGACTGGAAGGTTGCCGGTTCAAATCCCGCGGCCGGCAGAGGAATCCTACTCCGTTGGGCCCCTGAGCAAGGCCCTTAACCCCAACTGCTCCAGGGGCGCCGTACAATGGCTGACCCTGTCCTCTGACCCCAAGCTTCTCTCCCTGTCTGTGTGTCTGTGTCTCCATGGAGAAAAGCTGGGGTATGTGAAAAGACGAATTCCTAATGCAAGAAATTGTATAGGGCTAATAAAGAAACATTATTATTATTATTATTATTATTATTATTAGAATCTGGGGGAGGTTGGTTATTCTGACTGGCTTTACATCTTGCCGCTCAAAACAAAAGCAAAACAAAGGTGTTTGTTTGTTTGTTTGTTTGTTTTGAAATGGGTATTAAATATAATTTTGACCACGGCCCATGTAACTTTTGTCAGTGATGGGTGCATCTCCGTGCTCTTCTGATTTCAGCATACTCACGTTCCAAGGCTGATCCCCTTAATTACCAGCAACTGCACATCGAAATCGGTAGCGGTCAGACGGTAAGGCCTTTGTTTCCTTCTGCAGCACTCATGGTTTGCTGTTGTGTTGCGGTGTCAATGGCGGGAGAGGCCTCAGGTGGCGATGCTTGAGGACTCGCCCCCCGTCTGGAGCAGGAGCATTGTTGGTGATGCTCTTCAAGAATATTTAGGGTAGAAAACGGGTACTATGTTGAGCCCTACCTATATTGCAGTAAAGATAAAAAGGTTGGCATATATGACCAGATCCACTGGTGTCCTTTTTAGTCCATCTGAATGGAGAGGAATGAGCTGAAATGTGGGGGATTCGTGTCCTATCGATGCATTGAAAAAATAAAATATTCAGTAGGACCAGCGCCATCTGTAGTACCGTCAATAATATTTTTTTGTCATTACTTTTTTCTAATGTCTTAATCCCTGTTAAAATACAGAACAAACAATTAATGGCTGATTGTTTTCCTCTCATGATTGTGTAGCTCAGGGTCTGTCGATTTATTTATTTTTTCAACCTGAAAACACGTTTTAGTATTTCTCTTGAGACTTGAAGGGTACTGTTAACCGTAACATAGTATCACACGATAAAGAACTGAACCACACAGTTCCTAGTCATGCTGATGTACAGTACTCTCAAGTTGCAGGCTCCCAGAAGAAATGGTTTTGCATCTGCCACAATTATTAAAATCGACTCATCTGTTGTGTTCATACAAGCAAGCAAAATCCTTTTAGATTGACAATTTTGAATTGAACAGAGCAGAATTCTAGTTAATTATAATGCAAATACTACAGTTGGCACTTCATAAATGTCCGTCATGCTCTCATCTGTTTTTGATTGAAAGCCATTGCTTTATAAAATAGCAAAATATATAGACAGTCACTGTGAATTGAGATGGAATAGTAAATTAAAAGATGGATGTTTGAATGAAATTCACACAAGAAATTTGTCTTTAAAGTCAGTATTGAAAGACACTCTTTTTACACGTTTGCAGTAAATTATGTTGAATGAATTATGTTGTTTCCTCCTTGGTAGCTGTTGATGTGTAAACATACAAGAAACATGTTCCTTTCTGTCCTGACCTCTAGGCGGTGTTACGATTTCCTAGACCTGTTGCTGCAGGAGTGGCAGACCCACTCCCTAGAAAGGTAAGGTATCCACGTCACAGTGCCATTGCCTGTACTGGCATCAATGAATATTCATTTCTGTTGTGCAAAACTACAGATGTTGATTCATCAGTTAAATATCTTACAGTTGGGTTTTTGCATACACAGTACTGTAAATTTATAAGGAAATTCACTGTCAGGGGACAGGCTTCCTACAAGCATTTAAGACCATAGGGGCTTACAAAAGGAAGGAGGCCAGCTGGCCAATTTAGCCTGTTTGATAGCAGCTAATTGATCCAGGGATATAACCCAGCCATTTCTTTAAAAGGCCACGGTATCGGCTTCAACGTCATGGATGAGTAGCTTCTTCCATACTCCCACATCACATTGGGTAAAGATGTGTCTCCTTCTCTTAGTTTTAAATGCACTTGTACTGCAATTTATGCTTCCTCCCGTGGCTGGTGTTGTTGGGGTCATAAGATGATATTTATCATCAGAATTGTCCACCTCCTGCTTCACAGCTTAACATAAGGGCTGAGAGAGTCTGGAACGAGCTATAGATCCATGTTGTCGCAGCCAGTATCCTGGTGTTTTTTGAAGAATCAGCTGGATCAGATCCTGGGATCAGTTTGTTATTCACTCCCGAACAAGCTAGATGGACTGAACAGCCTCCTTTAGCTTGTAGCAGAGCTGTGCTCTGGAACAAATCACTCATGCTTTCTCAGGTGTTCTGTTAGAGCCTGCCCCTTCCACTGCCTGCTCACGAATTCTGCGTCAGGTTCCCCCTCCTGCAGGGGAGCGAAGGAACCGATTGCCAGGCTGAGCCTGTCACAGTCTTGCAGCCGTAACTTGACGAGTAATTAGAATCCGAGTGTTGTGCTGTTTTAATTTTAAGCACCGCAGTGGTAATAACAATATCCGAGTGAGTCCGAAGGTCTGGAGCGGCTTTCTCCCACAGCCAGCCCAGCCCATACCAGCAGAAAAACAAAATGAACTTGTTCATAATGGACACACATTTAAATCCAAGGTTTTTGGAAGGATGACAAAGCGTGACTCCCATGCATTATGTGCAGGGGCGGACTTGCAAATAGCAGCCTGTTAATGAGTGAATCCTCCTGACACTTAGATTCGATTCGTTTTTTGCGAAAGCAGTAATGCAAGTGCACCGATCAGTAAGATGGAGACCTTTCAAGTTACAGAGAGTGGTAGACAAAATGGAAGTGTATTTTACACTGCAAAAGCAGATCAGGTCTGCACTGTGTTTCTCTGTGGTACGCGTTGATACGCTTTTGCTTGTGTGTGGAGAGGGTGTGGGTTTTAAAACTGGAAATCAAGCTCAGCAAACAGGGTTCTGGAGGGATCTGACAGAAGGAACGTTTATGCGTATCCGGGGGTGTTTGAGATTGCTGCAATTGAAGATGGGTTTGGACTAGGTCATGGGTGGGAATGCGCTGGTTGCGAGTGTGGTCTGGTAACGAGCCGTCTCTGTGTGTGGCAGGCATGCAGCGGTTCTGGTGGAGAGCATCAAGAAGGGCATCCGAGATGCCGACGCAGAGGCAAGAGTGGAGGCCCGGAAGTAAGTCTCAGTGCTGACCGCCGCTGCCTTTCCTCCTTGACATCTCCTCAGCAGACTGTACAGCACGCTGCTTTGGCTGGATTCAGGAAATGCATAAGCGTGTTGGCTCACGTGTCTCGTGTAGGTGCAAGGCTCAAGAGAGAGAAGGTAGCAAGAGAGACAGTGTATTAATAATCTGATTAAGAGGATGAAAGACCTTTCCTGTCTGGCTTGAATCCCCACTTCTAAATTGGAAAGGATTGCTTCTATATTAAGAAACCCCAAAACAGCCTTTTAGCCAGAGTTGAATTGCATCCATATGTTCTTTAGCCATCTTTCAGCTAGAGTGTTCAATACACTGTTCCATGGTAGAATACTAAGCCAAAATACATTTTAAAAAACAATTTCATGAAACAAAAGTAAGTTATTGATTCCATTTCGGCACACTGGTAGTCTCATGAAAGTGACTAAGAGACTAGTTTAGGTAACGGACTTAACCAGCATCACTCCTGCAGCCTCAATGCGATGTTATCCGGCTAAAATGGCAGATGAAGAATGAAACATCAGCAATATAGGAAGCCATTCATGATCTTCCGGGGCTTTAAGGATTTGAAGGCTTCATGTCAAGGATGGTTGACCTATGCTGACACACAGCAGTGCTCACCATGACATTTCCACACAGGTTGTCTGTCAAGGTGACCTGTCACACAGGTCTGTCAAGGGTAAAACAGCATTCGCTAGTGCGTGAAATACCGCCACCACCTCATTCTATAGAAAATTAGGGTCTAACTCATTAAGTTATGTTAAGTTAGTTATGTCATTAAGTTGTAAAAGGGCAAATTCAGATTAGAGGTAGAAAATACACTGTTTCCCGTTTAAGATAAGATGACTTTATTGACCAAATACAATTTCTTGCAGTAGGAATTTGTCTTTTCGTGTACCCCAACTTGCTCTCCATGAGACACACAGACAGGGAGAGAAGCTGGGGGTCAGAGCGCAGGGTCAGCCATTTATACGGCGTCCCTGGAGCAGCTGGGGTGAAGGGCCTTGCTCAGGGGCCCAACGGAGTAGGACTCCTCTGCCGGCCGCGGGATTCGAACCGGCAACCTCCCAGCCACAGGCGCAGAGCCACCGCTCCGCCCCGTCTGGTTAACTTCCTGCTTCAGTAGATCACTGAGGGCTAGGGAGCACCCCCCAGCTCTTCCCTGTGTCATTGTGCTCGGCGCTGTCCTTCCTTCCCAGGGCTTACTGGGGGCTGCGGAACCATTTCCCCACCGAGGCCGACGCCCTGTATAACTCCCTGGAGCCGTCCTACCAGCGCACCCTGCAGTCCTGCCTGAAGAGCTCGGGCAGCGTGGCATCGCTGCCGCCATCCGACCGCTCCTCCTCCAGCTCGCAGGAGAGCCTCAAGTAAGAGCAGCGTCTGCGAGAGCGCCGGTTCCCCGGGTGTGGTCCGCGGGCGTGGGCCGGGGGGGGGGTCCGCGGGCTGACCTCGTCATCTCTCTCAAAGCGAGTCTGAGCAGCTCCGTTCTTCGCGGGAACTTTTTAAGTGACAAAAGCATTGGCAAGATGTTCGTTCATAAAAATATGAGTACTTTCCTAAAATCGAATTCAATTTTAATTTAAGTACATTCACAGGTGATGATTCTTACAGGGTAAGAGGTGGACGTAGGCATAGGTGGTCCACCGTATCTGTGACTTGGTGTCAGTGGTCCGCGGGCCGCAGAACTTTGAGAACCACTGTTCTAGGGGTCCGCTACCCGACCCGAGCCCCACAGGGCCCGGCAAAGTATCGGGTTTCGGGTCGGTTTTGCACGTACAACTTCGGGCTCGGGCCAGACTGGGTTTGGGTTTGTCTTCTGAAGAATGAAAATGAATTTTTATTTTATGTTTAAAATATATTTTTATTAGAAGAAATCAGAACTCATTTTGTGCTCTCCCTCTCTCGTGTGTATGTGTGTAACAAAGCTAAAACCAGCAATCCTTGCATGTATATCCACTTTGCTGATGGCGCTAGCTTTTTTAGTAGGCCTTTTAAGGTTGTCGGCTGTTCCCCACTTTCAAAAGGATTACAGATGTAAAAAATAACAGTCTGTCTCAGCGCACACCGTTTTCGATCAACTCAAGCGCGTAGCATAGCACAGCAGCCGAGCAAAGCATTGTAAAACCGTGTCTGTGAGAATCTGCCTACGTGTGTCTACTCGTTCTGAGAGTGACCGATTTTGGGTTCGGGTTTCAAATTTGGCAGTACTATTCGGGCTCAGTCGGGTCGGGTCTCAAGGTCTCGGGTACGGGCTGGGTTAGGTAGGGCCTCAGTTTCGTGCCCGTGCGGACCTCGTCTTCCTTCGGCCCTGCCGCAATAACCACACAACGTCTTCAGGGCAGCCTCGCCTGCTGTAACTTGGAAATGCCGCAATGCTATGGGAATGACGGTTCAGGAGCTTCAAAAGACTTCGAAAAGAGCTTTTAAAGGGTCCAGCCTGTGGAGTGCAGCACCTCTGGCTGCTGCTGTCCCTCGTGGGGCTTGCGGTCTTCGTGAAACTGGGGCTGCACCCCAAAGGTTTCCCAGCTTTCTTTTTGTCAATGTGCAGGCAGGCGTGCCCTCACGTGTTGCAGTGCACTTCAACTTCCCGGCGTTTTGTGCCATCTCTTTTATGCTCTCAAGTGTTCTTTGCTTTTGTTCCTGCGCAGGTGAAAGCAGTTTGTCTCAAGGTTACTTTAGGGACGAGATTAATGAGGCATACGTAGTAGCGTTTTAATTTTATGGGAGGAAGCCATCTCATGAATTCCTTCTTGCTGGGTAGTCCAGATCTCTCTTGGAACCTGCTTTTAAACTTTTAATCTCCGGGATTTTTCAGCACTTTTTAATTATTTTCACAGGTCTAAATTATTTGGACCTCATCGGTATCCAAATGTTAAAATAAATTGTCCTTTTCTGCTAGTGGGGAAAAATCCAAATGCTTTTGGCTTAAGTTTATTTACGTACTTCAATGAAGAATGATTGCTAGGGTCGGTTGCCCAAAGTCTTGATTCCACACATGTCTTGTTTGTGGTACCCATGGTGTTGGTCTTGTTGAGCGTTCGCATTTTTTGCAGAACTCTACTTTCAGGCTGACGGCATTCATTTCTCTTTTTGTTCCAGTCGGCCTCTGTCTTCCAAGTGGTCAGGAGCACCAGGAAGAGGTATGTTGTGTGTTTTTGTTTTTAAGAGCCGCATGACTGTGAATTATCAGCAATAAATGTTCCCTGCACTGACACCAAGGACTGGAAAGGGAATGGAGTGAGGCCAGGATTATAATCTGCTAACAGAGGACAGGTTTAGCAGGAAAGCAGAAACTTTTGGATTTCCCCAGAAAGAAATTCTCCATGTGTCCATTCCTGCTTTAGTAGACATTGTTAGACTAGTGTGACATTCCTCATAGGTCGCTGCAATTCAAAGGATATTTTTTTTTGCCTGGAATCAAACTCATATCATTGACTCATCCAGATGTTGTTCAGTTTGGAATGTGGGTGCCGTTTCTAGACTGGCCACTGCAGTTTACATCTATAACTTGAAAAGATTGAACCACTGTCATACTGTGATGGCTATGAAGTAACCTGCTCAAGAATGAGGTCTGAACTTAGTAATAGACTGAACACTTTTGTTTTTTGGGTCACGGATAACCAAATAATGCAACTTTAGTACACGTTACTTTCATTAAAGGTGAATGGGTTTTCATTTTTCCTGGAATTAACCTAAACTTAGCGAGTTTAACATTCAGGGTGAATACCTTTTATTCTGAGTTAGAAATATGACAGTTTTTTTTTAGTCTCAGGCATACTGCATTTGTTATTTATGGCAGGCATTTTACAAACTACTGACAGTCTTTTTGCATTTCAATATATAAACGTATGGGGAATAGTAAAACAATTTTTATATAGCACCTTTGAAAAGTGGCTTCTCAAAGTGCTTTACAGAAACACACAAAAAACACGTTGAGAGGAGAAAGGAGATGGGGGTGTGGAATACAGTAAGAAGGACAAGAGGCACACAGAACCAGTGCACCAGTGAAATAAAAGCCCTTCTAAAGAAGGTTTTCAGTCTAGATTTGAAGGAGCTCAGGGACAGTGACTGATATCTTTAAGGAGAGAGTTCCAGAGTTTTGGGGTGCAGCAGGAGAAGGCCCCGTCACCCCCCCAGAGTGTAGACAGGCTTGGGGAACAGACAGGAGATCAGAATTAGATGAGCGAAGGTGGGCAGCAGAACAATACTGACTGAGACAGGTACTGAGGTGCACAGCCTTGTCGATGAACATCGGGATATTGAAATGGACCCGAAACCAGGCAGGTGGCCAGCGCAAGGACTGGGGAAACTGGAGAGTGGGGTTTTGTTCACCTTTAATACTTGTCCCGTCCAGTTCCTGTGCAGGCGAAGACGGCCCCCAGCCCCGGGTCTCTGCAGCGCTCCCGGAGCGACATCGACGTGAACGCGGCAGCCGGGGCCAAGGCCCGACATGGCGGACCGAGCGCTGGGGCTGGGCGCCTCACGGCCGCCGGCCTCCCCCCGGGCTCCTACGCGTCCCTAGGTACGAGACCCGTCGCACTCAAGTCCCCGACACGGGCCTCTTTACAGCACGTTTTCTCCTTGGTCGGCCAGCAGGTGTTAACGGTGACTGCAGCCGCGAATTGAGAGTCTAGCCCCTCTGCCAGTCCGCACTGAAGGAAAATATGCTGGCGAAAGAGGCCGCCTAGTCTTGCAGCATAAAATAGCAGTTTAAAAATGCTTTACTTGTGTCTCTTACTGGAGAGGTAGACAGTGCTGGGCGAGGGTAACAAGGCCCATTTGTACTGAGGCAGTGACAGAAGGTGATGTCACCGATGTCACCCCTTGGACACCTAGGTAGCGCTGAATTCTCCTGCGACAGGAAGCCCAGCCCTTTGGCATAGTGGAATTCACCACTGAGCTGGGACGCCTCTGTGGTTAATCCACGCAGCATTCTTCAAGCACCATTGCTTTGAGAATTGGCGTTAGTCACAATTTACCCTTCTATTTTGTACGGTTGAAAACTACACCGTATGAGATTTGATTTGTGCTACTGCACATTTTGTGGTATTTTTTTTATTTCTTATGTTGATCAGAGGAGATTATACTGAAGTCAGTCATTAAACTGGTCTGTCTCATACAGGATTTACTTCAAGATCAACGAGAAAATGTTAGAATAGAGAATTGTGAAATAGAAATAGGTTTTTGTAGCGTTTTGTCCCCTTCTCTTGATCAGCTGCCTCCCATTAAGACAGTCTAAACCCTTTTAATTCATGCTGTGTCTTTACAATGTCCTCTGTTTTGTGGACTGGATGCTGTGAGCAGTGTCTGTCACTAACACACTCTGCCGTTTTCTCTCTGCTCTGCCTCAAAAGATGACACCTCAGATAAGACGGATGGTAAGATCCTGTGCTTCTATCTGTCATCCTTCACCTAATCACTTCTCTGGCAAGATTTGTTTTGGTTTGCGGATGGGTGAATTAGATGGGTGATCTCAAAATGGCTCCAAATTACCTTAAGAGCTTTCTAGTCAAAAAGTACAGTACAGCACAAAAGCAGGACATTTCCTTAAGCACAACCCCCTAGCGCGGTAGAGTTTGTCCTTATTTGAATGGCAGATAAGGCTTTTCTGAGAGGCATAATTGTGTTGTCAGAGTGTAATTCTATGTTATTTGTTGTGTGTAATAGTACGTTAGTGTACCCACATGCCAACTGCAGAGAAGAACAGTCAGGCCCCTGTGCAACTACGGTAGCTGTCACTGTGTGCTGCTTGATGCCCTGCTGGGTTAATTTAGGCTTGTGTTTTTTGTGTATTTTAAGAGCAAGTAATACAGACTGAGAGAAGTGAGTGTGAGATGCAAAGCAGTGTCCCTTCTTGATCTTAGATATGTGATATTTGAAGGTCAGGTGAGCTACCACGCGTGTTCAGCCAGATGTCCTGGCTCATTTGGGAAAGCAGTCTTGGGAGGCTGAAAACGTGCAGAGAAGCAGTAGCGTTATTCATACTACATTCGGGGCAGCTGCTCTGTGGGAATTTTTCAAATCATATCTGAGCTCTAGCCGAGCAGCTGTTAATGGCTGAAGCTTCACGCCAATACCTGAGCACTGCTTGTTCACCCATTCCCGATGAAACCCTCCTGTGTGCGTGTGCGTGTCCTGTCCCGATCGCTGCACTGACACGCTGAAGGACAGGGCGGCGGCGAATGTAGGCACAATCACACTCATCACTGCTTGACTTTGTGTGCTTTGAAGACGAGTCACACCTCATCATCCAAGTTTATGCGATCACTACCAAGCATTCATTTACGAAGCTTACCTCCTGTAACAAAACCTTGACCAGCTGAAATGTTTGGGCACTGTCAGAGTATTTTACGAAGGGGCTTGTTTGGCAGTACATCACCAGACCCATCTAAGCTTAAAATTGTTTAACAGTGTGAAACAACCACGAAACCAGGTTTAGAAGTCGTGCTTCGGTGATGTGTTTTGAAGTCTGAACTTCCTTGGGAATGCCTCTGATAAGTAGGCAGTTGTCGTAAAGCAGTGAGAAAATGTATCACAAAATGAGCTGATTTAGTTGGGTTGTCATATGCACTGCTAAAAAAACTAAATGTGGTCTGGTTAAATTGTTGCCAAAGCAGCTTTGATAGTGTAATCATTGAGGTGGTGTATTGCAGCCAAGAAACCACATTTGTGCTTCACTTATGTTTTAATGGTGTGAAGTACAGTCGTAATTGTCACACAGAATTCTTTTTTTCTGTTTAGGAGCTGTGTCAGATGATGGTAAGCTCTGAGGCTGTAGTGTCTTAATAGCTGTAGTGGTCATGTGCTGTCATTTAACTCGACTAGTGCTTTTAACCTTTTGATTTGATTCTGTTGTAGCTTTGTTCCCAGCTTTACCCAGTTAACAAAAGCTGTTGACCCAGTACAGTATGCACATCTACATTAGCTTCCAAATGTATTCATACCCTTGATGAACTGCAACTGCAACTGATGTTTTTTTTGCATGAACTTTCTGGTGCACATTTAGTATTTTTCAATTCAGATAAAAAAACTAAAGATCTCCTGTCCATATATAAACTAAATGTTTACATATGGACATATATAAATGTTTTTAGTTTACAGTTGTTTAAATTTCCTATTGTGCCAAGTGTTTTGCTTAAATGTTCAGTTTTAGCATTTATTTTCATCCTTTGTATAAGCAGTGACTAAAGTCGAACCTTGTGTATCCTATTATAGATGTACTGTATATGATTATTTTTAAGTTATACTATAGATATGTTCTCTGTGCTTGATATAGCACTCTTTTTTTATACATATCACATTTTAGTTAATAAACACTGCATTTTACATTCTCACTAAACTTTAAGTTACAGTTTATCAAGGGCAGGAATGAATTCAAAGACTATTGTAGAAAAATAAATTTTCAGATTAGTGAACAAATATTATTGAGGTGTGAATGGCAACGTATTTTTTTTTCCTTTGCAGCCGCCTTGTCTTGTCTGTTTGCCTTTCTTCTAATGTCTGTACCAGATATTGTTTTTCCCTTAAATGTTGATCACTGAGCTGTTGTGTTAGACCGGTGTCAGTGTGTTCAATCTCACATGAAGTGATAGAAAACCAAACTGAAATTCACCTGGATATGAAGACGTTATTTCCATCCCTCTTTTGAGCTAACAGGAAAGAGTCAAAGATTTCCTTCAGTGTCAGAAGAACGTCACCCATACCTGCTGCTGCTTTGCCCCGTGGCTTCGGAAAGCCTGGGCGCTAGAGATTATAGCAAGATAAGAGGACTGACTCCAAGACGCCCTTATCTCCCGAAGTTTGGTGACACTCCCGGTGGATTCAGCCCCAGCGCCGCAGTCCGTCCTGCCAGCGCCGGCTTTTCCACCCCCTTCCGGACGATTTGTTCATCGGCCCTCTCGCTCTTCTGTCGCAGGCCAGCTGCGCACCAAGAGGACCCTGTCCACGGTCTCGGGGGGGATCGGGAGCAGCCAGGTGGACTCCAGAGGCCGCAGCAGAAATAAAGTGGTCTCCCAGTCCCAACGTATGTACAGCAGCCCTGCGCCATTGCGGCGAGCCGTGCCACTCTGTTCTCACACCTGTGCATATCAAGTGTTAATGGATTCATTTCCAGTTTGCGCCAGCACCCCCTAACAATGCGTTTGCAAACGTTTTTGTATCTCTAGGTTTAGAAGAGCCCCAGTGTCATCCAGGTATTTTTCACGGTGTGTCAACATGTTGTTTTGGGTCCTCTGTTCCTGCTGTTTTAGTCTGTGTGTATTTTTTTTGCACGTTTCTGTGTGAAATCTAAGCGTTCATGTCTGCCTGTACTTAAGTCGTACCTTAACAAAACCGGATGTCCTGAGTGCATAAGCGCTCAGTGCTTCAGAGTGCAGCAGCTCCACAGCTTTGCTAGTTTTCAGACTAATTCCTCATCTACAGGTCAGTCTCTTAACGGAGCACATTAGCAAAGACCGGAGTGGAGGAGTGGAGGTGACTCCGTGTTTTCATGTTCCTCACTCGCTTGAAGTCTCATTTCAAGGGCTTTTAGTTTTTGAATGAAGTTGTTTTTTTACTTTTCACTTACTGTCTGAACAGACAGTTGTATCTCAAGTTTGGTTTAAAATATCCAGGGAAAGGATGCTGTGCGTTCCGAATACGTACCAAAATGGACGTCATAGCGGGTCATGAACAGTAGGAATTGATTTCCTGGTGTGCGGATCTCCTCCCACCGCTGAAGTGGAAGTGTTCTCTGAACAGCTGTCTTCTCGCCAGGTCGATGGGTTGGGTGTATTTGGCTTCTCTCGCCCAGCTTTGAGTAGGTTTGTGTTTCAGACAGAGCTACTGGTGTGGAGGCACAGGTTTTCCCAATACTGGAATTCTCCATGAACCTGGCCTTGGAGAGCGACATTGCACCATGATTAATTGTAGCACCAGGTTTTAGATTGTAAATGACTGCCTCATGCAGAGTGATTGTTCAGATATACATCCTAATTATGCCTATGCCTAATTTGTTTTTTTTTGTCAGTTCAGTGTGTCCCACTGTATTTATTTTTCTTTAAGGTACATAAAATCTTTTGTTGAAAGAAAATCCTCGCGTTGTCAGTGACTGTTATTGCAGTTTTCGTATGTGACATAATACGACCTAAACATTGAAGAATGCGACCAAATCGACTAATTCTGAGATTTCGAAATGTCATTTTGTGTTGGCTTTGTGGGTAAATGCTACAGCAAGTGTCGCCTGGGTATTGTAATACTGGTCTTAAGATTGCTCAATTTTACACCGAACCTTTTAAAAAAAAAGTTTATTCCTGAAAATGTCCTAATTTTTCAGGCATTGTGTCTTGTGCATGTTGTTTAGCGACATTACTTTTCTGTGCTAACGGGTAAATTGCTTTGGTTTTTCATTCCTCAGCTTGTATACAACAATGTTACTGCTCCACGCTGTTCGATGTCCAGCAGCTGGCATGCTGTATTCAATGAGGTCAATATAGGACTGATGGCAGTGCACAATATAGCACAGCCCTATTTTAACCTCAGTGCCTTGCAGGACATACATGTGGGGGGAAAGCACTTTTGACTCAATATGGAATGATGAACATGTAATGTGCAACATTTCTTTTTTGGCTGATGTAGATTTTGACATGCTGAATGCGTCCTTGTTTTTCTGTGCACAGTCTAGACACATCTCTATAGAAACAGATGGGCAGGCAATGAAGATGCCTGGAGCACTCATTCCTCTAGGGGAAGGACTAATGTAGCTATCTGCTGTGTGGGGTTACCTGCACGCAGCTTAATGAGACTTGGGGCACCAAAGGCAAAGTTTATACACCACAAGCTCCAAACACAGCTGTGCCATCATCCTGAGCTCAGTTACCATAATTGAACCGTTTCCAAAAAACACAGCCTGAATAAGCGCATCTCCTCAAGAGATCGGCAATATCCAACGCAGGCGTGACTCGATCTTGAGTCACCCGCAGTCGGAACAGATTCTGCACTGAGGAAGACCTCGGCAGATCAGGCTGTTTTCATTCCTTTCCTCTCAGTGAAGAGAGCGTTTCTGTTCCACTAAGTGGAGCGAAGTGCAGTCCTCTCACTGGCCCAGTTTTGAAAGAAACCCCTGATTTGACCCTTGTGCGAGGTCATTAGGTTTTATTTTTAAAAATTCTAGATGTTTGAAGCTTTGCATCAGATGTCTTTAGCTAAATGCGAGTGAGGCGGATCGCGGTTCGCTGGAGATCTCCGTAGCCTCTCGATATCGCATCGGCGGCGACAGGGAGCTTCTTTCCGCCTGGTTCCACAGAAATACCGGTTGGGAACCCTTTAACAAAATTCTTTCTTTACAGGTCCAGCGTGTTCTTTTTGCAGATTTGAGGACTGGGTGGAGGGAGGGGGATTTTGACAATTTGCGATGCAAGATTGTCTCGGAACAAAACTCCCATCTGTGAATCAAATTGTGCAACTTGTGTACTGCCTTCTCGAAATCCGGTGCGGCCGGCGTCCTGTCTGTGGATCAGGGTTGATTTTCTTCCGTTGTGAACTTTGTACCGTGTCTCCCCCCCCAGTCGGTGTGGCGTGCTCTAAGAACCGATGTGTGTGCGTGATGCTTTTGAGCAGAGCTGTGCCCTGCTTTTTTTTTTTCCTTTGCAGCTTTGCTTCATCTCCTGTGCATCCCTTCCCCCCCCCGGAGCAAACCTGATTGCATTCACTGCCCCCCCCAAAGAAAAGGGCAGCCGATCTGCTTTTCCCATGTCCCTTTTCCGGTTGTCCTCCCGTTAACTGACCTGCGCCTTTTCCGGTTTCCATGCGCCATTCATTTATTTTTAATCTGCTCTGTTCCCTCCCTTCCCCCCCCCCTGTGGATAACACCCCCTCTAATCCTGCCTTACCACCCGTTCAGGATCACAGTCCGCTAACCCCATCGGTGGTAAGAGTCTCCAGATATTCACTGTGTGTCTGTGGCTGTGTTTGTCTGCACCCACCCCAGCCTGTCTCCCATCATGCACCGCTGCGGCGGTCCGCCCATTCCCGTCCATCCCTGCCTGCTCGACTGCGTCACCAGCAGCTTTGGCCAGTGTGGCTCCCCCGTGCGTCCAGTCCAGCCGCAGTGTGTCACAACCCGGCCCTCTTGCGCTGAGCTTGTGCCCCTTAAAGCCTGCAGCATGCTGGTAGCTAGTTTGTTGTGGTTTAATTTGGCCATCATTTTTCTTAATGCTCTTCATTTTGTTTTTGTGCTGACGCTATGTATTCCAGTTAGTGTGTTTTTATGTTTTTTTAATACATTTTTTCAGCAGTGCTGGCAATCGCTTGCTACAGGCATATCCTAGACAGGAAATGGGTTTTTGGTCATCTAATTCTTGGTACTTGTAAGAAACAAACCATGAGAAAACACAGTACCATTTTTTTTCCAGCACGTCTCATAACATTTAAGATGCTGGAATTTTGCATGTAATTAGCAACGGGCTACAATGTTAAGTGCAAAGCTGCTTTTTGAGATTTCAAGATCGGTTTCTTGATTTTTCTCCAGAGCAAAAGTCATCTGTCTTGGCCGATTGTCATTATTACAGAGAGAACTTAAGCAGCTTTTACAAAGGAGAGGAGGATTTAAGCATCTGATATTGAAATTACAATCTATATGTCGTGTCCTACTTTTAGTGGAAGAGAGCAAGAACTTTGATGGGGGAAAAAATTGAACATTAAATTAATTATGAAATGAGTTCTTCAACACCTTTTAATTTGGTTCTTGGTTTGCAAAATATGCAAGTTGAGAAGTATCTGTTCTGATGTTCACAGATTGACTCTATAATGTGTGTACCAGCATACTGAGGCAGTATGTTAATGTCCAGATGGCCAAAGCTGTTGATGGCGGTGACTTAGTGGATCATGTGGGACTTTTAACATGTTAGAATTTCACCCACATTTTTAAATTCCTTGTTTAATCCTCCTAGCTTCCATTTCTCGTCTGAATCTTTCTGTGTTGTGCTACAGAATTTACAGTAAATACAGATGATTTGACTGAATCTGCCAGAAGCCACTGAATCTTAGTAAATACTTTGTTTTCATCAAGCAGTGGCCTCTGGAGGGTTGTTAAAGGAATTCCTCGCATTCTCTTTATGGCTGGAGAAGTTCTGTCTTCTATTGTAGGCTTTTAAATTTTAAAATACCTATATAGTAAACATTCAGTATTCTAGAGTGAAACCTTGAAAGAGCACCTGTAACGTCTCTGTTGTGTACAGAGGTTGCAGTTGTTCACTTTCTGACTGAAAGTGGAACTGGAAAGTTCTCTTCAAGTTTTTCAAGATTTTGTTGTGGAGTGATCTCTTCAATCCCGGGGATCGAAACCTTAAAATGCACGTCAGGTCTTCTTCACTGGGGCTCCCTTTTCTTGGTTTTCTGGACTCTCTAAACATCAAGTTCATCCGCACTTCCCCCCCCCGATTCATAAATTCTGCAGCATTGTAGTTCGCGCGACGAAAGGTTCAAGATTTCTTGATCTATCGGTCTGCTGGGAGGACTAAGTAACTGGGGGTGTCCTTCGCATGCGACAGCCTTTGATGGTGAAAGGTTATGTCAGCCTTTTTCTCTGGCACATTACCCCTGCTTTTCCCGACTTTATCCCCGTTGGGAAATTTAATTTGCAAGGCAAGAAGAAGACATGATACACAATGCATCGAATACAACACGAGCCAGTAAACAAATAAGAGACATGCATGTATGCCGAATAAGAAACGTATATAAGTAAAGTAAAATATACAATTGGTTGTCCCAGTTGAGCAGGTTAATTGCTGCGGGGATAAAAGATGACTGTTGCTCTTGAATCTAGGCAGGCTAAATCGGTGCCCAGATTCGCTGTGCAAGGAGGGGTCATGACGGCCAGTGATTTATATTGGCCTTCCTCACTGTTTGCTTGACCTAGACGTCGGAAAGCTGCAGCTGTTGCACGATATATGAATCGCCCCGTGCGTCGGTCTCGTTCTGTGTCCTGTAGCGCTGCGATCGGAAACGCGGGGTAACGTCTCACCGCCGCCCCCCCCCCAACCACCCACCCACCTTCTCCTCTCTCTCCCTCCCTGTGCAGCCGGCAGCCGGTCTGGCTCCCCGGGCCGCGTGCTCGCCAGCACGGCGCTCAGCACCGTGAGCTCCGGCGTGCAGCGGGTGCTGGTCGGCGGCAGCGCGCAGAAGCGCAGCAGGATCCCGCGGAGCCAGGGCTGCAGCCGGGACTCCAGCCCCACGCGGCTCTCCGTAGGTAAGCACGCGCCCGCCCGCGCTCATCTCGCCTCGTCCCCCGCCGGCTGCTCGCCGCTCCAGATCTGTTCGTCCATCTCCCTTTTGTATTGTGAGCCATGGAATCCGCCTCTCATTAAATGTGCTTTTGCTTCTTGTTGTGGTCGGTGTCATTATTTGGTTTGCCAGTCCCCCTGGGTCCTAATTGTTGGATTTCACGAACGGACTTCCTGTGGTTTCCTTACCCTTTGGAAAGTGCCGGCTTAAAAGATTTAACTTGGTCGCTCTGTATCGTGACCTTTCGTCCGCTGCGCACCGAGTCTTCGGCAGAACTGACGTGTTTGATTGCGGAGGACTTGACAATGGTGCATTTGCAAATAAAATGCCTTTAACCTCAACAACGGAGCCATGATTGGCTCTCGGAAGTGATAATTACATTCGGAAGCCGTCCTCCTCTGTCTGTTCCTTTTCAGTATGGGGGGGAAAGTACGTTTTCATGACCCGCTCGTCTCTGCTGTAAAAAGCTTTCGTTTCAAGCTGCATGATCACCATTTCGCCGCAGACATGTTTTCATGTCGTCATTTATCCCCATTGCCGTGTCGAGCTACAGAAGGTTTAATCCTGCTGTATAAAAGTTTTGAGCTGCTCTCCGTTCTTCAGAAGCGAATGAACTGCTCCGTGCCTCTTTTTAGGGCCGGGCCTGTGTTTGGTCATCGGGAGATCTTGCTCTGCATGTACTGTACCTGACTGAGTACTTGTGACGTGAAGTGCTCAAGACTGTTTCTAACTCCCACTGTACTTTACTTTCTTACGAGTAGCACCCTCAAACCACCAGCAAATCTTCAATGGAGGCAGCAGAGGAGGTAAGCCTGGCTTAAATATTAAACCACTTCAGCAGCAGAGTACAGACCGCGTTTGTTTCATAGGACTTGAGTGTACCAGAAGGAAATGAAACCATCTCTTTCTCTAAGGCCGCCTAAGTATAACAGGCAGTTTGTACTATACTGTTATTACTGTAGTACTATCTGTACTGTAATTAACAGTGGGCTATTTTAGATTTCTTTTTCTGCTCCCTAATCTAATCAAAGTGTTCTCTTATTTATTGTAAAATTAGGTTATTTTCCTCATCGAGGCATTTATCTTGTTTTGGGTAGCTGTCCGCATTTATTCCATTCACCAAGGTAGTAGGTGTCCGATACCAAATTCGGTTTACTGAGGTTTATGGTATACGGTATCTTTTCCATGCTCACTTTCAATACCCTTTGACAGAATTGAACTTTGTTTTTTGTGGTTATGAACTGAAAGTTCACTATTATTCTGCATTAATGAAATTTCAGTGGGAGAAATAGTGAGATGGTCATGCAGCTTTAATAGGAAATGTACTGGATTGTCTACACAACAATCGGAACCTTTTTTTGCCTTTGGTATGAAAAAAGTGTTGGTTACTGATTGCTGTGTTAACAATTTTAGTGCGTTATTTTGTAAGTCTAGAAAAACAAGCAACTGTAGTTAAATAACTGCAGTTTTGTTAAAGATCAGATGAAGTGGTTAAACTGCGCTTTCCTCAGTTTCAATTCCTTTTGTCTGACAGCTATTTTTCTATTGCTTAACCTTTCTATTTTGTGTTAAAAGGTGAATTGCATTCATACTACATATTAAAATGTTTGAGATGTTTGATATTAAGAGCTTTGTATACGAGGTAAAAGAATATATTAAAAAATCTCTCACTATATGACAATCTCAACACGATCTAACAATGATTGAAGCTTCCATCGCTACAGAAGAAGAGATTTTGGTCTCTCGTACAAATCACGAATGTTTCATGCTCACCATGTCTAACTAAAAAAACTAGTCTTTTGTTTAACAGCAAAAGCTTTAAAAAAACTAGTAAAAATACAAAGGCCAACCAGAAAGCAATTTTACTTTTCACAATCAAACTATATTTTGCAACTCGTTTTTTTTAATCTCGGTAGGAATATTAGGGGATTCCGCCTTCATTTGCATGAAAGTTAAGGTGGAGCATTGTCTTCTGACTGACCCTTGCGTCGAAGTCCAGACGTTCCTGGGTTTTTCTCCGGTCTGCTGGTCCTATACGGCTGCGTTCGTTCCTGGCGCTTCTGCTTCGTGGGTTTTTTTTTTTTGTGCCTCTCGGTTACTCCTGGGAACCCTCGTTCTGTAAAAAGAAATCGGGATCCGCGCCGGGCCAGGGGAATCGAGAGCGGAGGCTCTCTCCCGTTTCAAGTCTGGGGACCGGCGGTATTCCTGTGGGCCTCTTCCGCTCGCCTTTGGGGAAAATGCGGAGCCTCCCAAGTTTCTCGCGCTCGAAAGGAAGCGAGGCGGCCTCCCTTTTTTCGAGGCGCGAGGCCTTCGGAGAAAGGGTGGGCGAAGGCGGTGCGTTACAGCCCTTGCGAGTGAATATGACGACTGTTCTCTTTCTCTCTCTTTCTCTCTTGAAATTGCGATTGCTGCTCCCCGCCTCCCCCCCGATTCCTGCTAGCACGAGGCAGCCGCATCCCTCGTCCTAGCGTGAGTCAGGGCTGTAGCCGAGAGGCCAGCCGGGAGAGCAGCAGGGACACGAGCCCTGTCCGCTCTTTCCAGCCCCTTGGTAAGTACGCCCAGAGCCGTGCCCGGCTGCCCCCTAGTGCATGGCCTCCTCCATCGCGATCCGCTTCCCGGGCTGGGCTCACGCTTCCTCCATCGCCACCTGAATCATCCCACCCAATCCTTCCTGAGGAAACGGCGAGCAGAAATTCCCGTTTCTTTCCACTCCATCCCCCCCCCCGGCCCTCATCCTTCCCAGGGAATGGCCCTCCCGGTCTGCTCTTAAAAGAGAAGCACTCGTCCGAAGCACACCCCCCCCCGCCCCCCCGCATGCGCCTTGTGCAGCCTTTCACGGACGCGAGCTTCCGTTCAGGAACGAGAGAGGCTCCTTTCGCCGAACCCGATTGCATTTTCAATCCCGGTTCTGCTCGGATGATTTGAAGGATGTCAGTCAGAACCGCAATGACACGTAATCATTCCGATAAAATGGTCTTCTCTGAGCCTGTACTGCTAATATTATGCGGAAGTGCATTTAAAACAGAGAACAGGAGGCGCTTCTTTACCCAAAGGGTAGTAGGAGTGTGGACCAAGCTACCCAGCCATGCTGTTGAAGCCGAGAGTTTCTCGGCTTCTTTCAAGAAACAGCTCGATGAGATCCTGGGATCAATGAAATCGGCTGGATGAGTGGAGTGGCCTCCTCTCGTCTGTAACCCTTGTTCTCTGTGAAATGACCCCAGTAATAAGTTAACCTAAGCAAGATGCACTGGTTTGCAGGATAGCATTGCTTGCACTAAGGTAACTCGTGCACAGACCTGAACCTGGCATACAAAGGCTGCACATGAGCAGTGTGTTTGTATTTAGAGGGATTGGTTTCCATGTATATTCACACCCCTTTGCCTCATGGTGTCAAAGCAGCTTTACATTTAAGCAAGTTTAAAAGCAACAAATTTAAAGGCAGCTCTTGATGAAGTGGCTAAAAGGGCATCTGGTTTCCAAAGCACAGTGCCTTCCAGAAGTAATTTGGCTGTTTTTACTTGTGCCATTTTACTTTCATTAATGCCAAACATTTTCCCAAGATCTGTAGAGCAGCAGCTCAGCTAGAACAGTTCTTCTCATCAGGTTGAATTCACACAGCTAGCTGCTGTCTACTGCATGGAAAGTCGCTCCTCGCTCCATGAGTTATTTGCCTTCCAAGTACAATTTAAATGCATCTTTGAATGGCAACGGCCATATAAATGCATTGGGATTATGAAGTGAAGTGATGGTAATAGGAGGCAAGATGGGGTTGTGTGCGGTTTTTCCTTTCCGATTTTCATCTGCAAGATTTTAAGAGCAGACACTTCCCTGTCGCTTCAGTGCTTTAATATCCAGCTGTTGCATAGAATGTTAGTTGTTGCTGCAAAGGACTGTGGGTTGGTGGCATAGAAGCAAGGGACTAATTATGGTTGGAGCAATGCACCGCAACTTGCCCCTGTCATACAGTGGATTCCATCGCTGCTGGTCTTGGGATAACAGGTCCATTGTGAACTGTGGATGATCTTCACACTGGTTTATCAGTGAGCCCCATCTGACAGTGAAACATTGTTACCTGTGTTTATACACACAAAAGACTGAGAATAGGGTCAGTCTAAACTATCTGCCTGAGTTTTGTCGCGTCTCAACATAAATTGCTATGGTTTGGTGCCTTTTCTTGAAAATAAAATTAAACGCAGCTTAAGGTCAGACCTGGTTGGATTAAAATGCCATGTTAAAATCTAGAATTGGAAAATGCGTGTGGTTTACTATTAGTCCAACGCTACATCTTAATATATTCTTCTGGGTGTTTTCCCACAGGGTATTACTTGCTGAGCCATTCCTTCTAGGAGATATAAATCATGTGCATTGGCATTTTTTTATGTGCACGTCATTATTCGATCTTGAATTGATAGATATTCTAGATTCTGCTCGTCCGGCTCATTCAAGCATTTTTGGCTTGTGTGTTTTCAGTACTACTTAAAAGCTGTGAAAAATAAAATCAAGAAAAGAGTGTAATCATTTCAAACAATGGAATATTGCTGCAGAAGCTAATCTTTAATTGATTTCTGCCATTTGCGGTGAGCCAAGGCTTTTCAATTCCACGCCAGGTAGCTTATTGGATGTTTTGAAAGTGAATACCTTGCTCTTCTAAAATGCTTTATCAGGCAAGCTTCATTTGACCTTGAGTGAAAAGCATCTGAAGTGAAATTCTGACATTTTCTATTAGTTTACAGCAGCTGGTACGAAAATCTGAAAACCCAAGTGTGACAAGCATTGTAAGCAATGGTTTTGTGAGAGAATTTGTTTTAAGTGTCTGGTAATAAAACTTGGAATCATTAAAACAGTGTAAATGAGAACTGCTTAAACTCTGATGGAGCTCTGATGGGGGAAATCAAGCTTGTTAACTGTGCAAAACTGCATTTCAGAAGTAATACATCTCCTGGTAATTGCAACAAAATATCTCCATATTGCCACACTGTGCTGCTGAAGTGAAAAGGTCTCTCTCCACTACCCTCCTGAAGGTGGCACAGCTGAAACATTTATATATGGTTTTACTGTTCATAGTGGGTTCAACTTTTAGAAAGCTCAGCACATTAGAGGTTAATAGAAAACATTCTTCTTTTGTGATAACATGCTTTATAGCAAGACTATGAGGGAGGTGGTATGCTGTCTGTGTACAGTATATATTATTATTCGTTGTGTACATTATTGCTTTCCTATGCTATTGCTGGGTTACGTGTCCAAGCGGGGAATTGGCGTGTTCTTTGTTACCCAAGTGAATATTGAATTCACTTGTGAGTGATTTTTGATTCTTAATTCACTTTCAGACGTTTCTTTCCATTTTAAATTGGATTCCTTATAAATTAGAAAAATCCAGTTCGGTTATCATTTTATGGGAAGTTGTGTTTAGTTTATTTTGTGGTTTTGCATGGACCTCACCACTTGTTGGCTGTGCATTTGACTATTCCAGACTCCCCAGCTTGCTTCCCACCTACTGGAAAGGAAGTTCTCTTTAGATAAATAGCACTGTGTTCTTCACTTTCCTTTTGTTTGTTTGGTTCTTACATGAAATAATTCTGCAGTAAGTGTCAGATGCCAGCAGAGCGTGGTGTATTGCTCTGGATAGCACTGTCCTTGTCAAAGATGTCCACAGGTAATATAGATTGTTCAGTGGTAAGCGCTACAGAGGCTCAGAGTCGCCCTCTGCTGTAACTTGCATCACATGCCTTATGTGATGACTGAGGAAGATGTGGATTTCGTACATTCGGAGCGCTGATCTAGCACTTACAAGTATTAATAGTTATTTGATGTGAATCTTGACTTGTAACAGTTCTGTTGTACTGTACATGCTGCTGTACTAAATCAGATTGGAATTATGTGGTGTATAGTTCTGCAAAGAAGTAGAGAGATTTACTAGGTGCTTGCTGAAGTACATCACTCCAATAGTTTGGTTTGCTGTGTGGACCAATTCTGTTTCATATTGCAAAGAGTGACCTTTGAAATGAACCAAGACCCCTTCATCAAGAGAAGTGATTAGGATTCTTGTTGAGATTTTGAATTAAGCTCCTCCAAAAACAAAACTGCACTTCAGTCCATATGAAATGGTTAAACAGACTGGGACCAAATATGAAGCAAGACTGATGCCGAATGTCGGTCTCAGTGATGCTGTGCATGAATGGCTCTTCAGAGTAAAGTCCTACAGGATTTTCCGCGAAACTGTAGTGCTTCCGGATGCCAAATATTCCAGTCACATGCGAGACGGAATTTGAGTTCTCTTTGTAGTAGGGGTTAATTTCAAAACTGATGGCAAAAGTTTGCCAACCCCTGCTTGGTTTGTTTAATTTCTGTAATGCACAGATGAAATTCAGTATGTAACCCTGAACCAGTTCTCACTTCCCTTTCGAACCATGGTCTATCTGTAACTGATGCTTTTATCCGTACATGTCAATTATACAGACAAGTCTTGTGTGGACTGCAGCTCTTGTGAACCATCCAGGGTTTAGAATATTCTGATAGGTTAACTAGCTCTAGTGGATCCTAGTGTGTTTATATCCCTTCCTCTCCCCATTTACGCGGACCCAAAACTTATTGTGAGCTAAGAATGTGTGGGTGTGAAGATTATATTGCCTGTGTTTCGATGTAGTTGACTCTGTATAATAGGGATGTCCTAGTACATAACAGGAGAGTCATTCTGCTGTGGTAGAAGGAGACGATGTATAAGGGACTGTAACAGCAGCATCTTACTTGAAAGTGAAAACAGTAGGCTGCACTCCAGTTCAAACTCAGTGGGCAAGATCCATCCCCATAAACAGAACTTTAAACTGTCAGTTTGCTGTGAAGCAATATCATGTCATGTAGAGGCAGACGATGAGCTGTTCTTCATGTTCTCCACAGTTTCTTCTCCATTTCCCCTCCGACCTGTGCTGAAATAATTCTGGGGTTACAAACCTGGGCTGCATGTTTCTGCAACCTCCACGCGGTGCCGCCGTGGGCTCTGTGCGTTTCTGTGTTGGTAACAGGCAGGGTCTGTGTGGTTCTTGATTCCAGCTTCCAGACACCACTCCAGGTCCACCGGTGCCCTCTACACCCCTGATGTATTTGGGGCCCCAGGTGAAGGCTGAGTAACACCCCACTGCCATCAGTCCACTTTGCTCCATGCATTTTTCAGATTGGGTTTTCCATCCAAAAGCGCATGCCTATTAGGTTTTCAGTTCACTTACTGTAGATGTCGTTTCTTTTTTGAAGCTATTTTATTCTTACTGCTGCAGAAAGTAACAGGTGTTTGTTCTGTGCAAAGCATATGCATTTGAAGATACTCCTTTCTGAAACTTTTGCGCTACACTGATCTGATACGACAGTAACTCCGATCTCGAATTTGTTGAGTATGCAAAATACTTAAGAGCTTATAGAAGAGCTTTTATCACTTAAGTTTTTTTTTTTAGTTTTGTATGAGCATTTAAAAATGTACCTATTACATTTTAGTTTTGGTTTTTGTTAGATAAGCTTAAAGTATAGACTCTCGTATTTCTTCTAACTGAAATAAAGGTTAACTTTTATGATGAAGGAGAAGTTGTAGTTATTTCTTGATAACATTTGTGACTTCCTGCAGCATGTCCTCATCTTTAGTTACAAAATGGATGCAAACCTCTAGCACAGCCATTTGTTTTATTTTCACCTTTTGGTGAGTTACAGCATTGATTTTGATTTGAGTCACCCTCAACCTGCCTGGTATCTTTTGTTGTCTTTGTTTGCCTTTTTTTCCCCCCCGTTCTGCAAGCCCTCTGGGAACTTTGTGCTGCTGTATCTGTATGTCAGGAGTGATCTGCCATGCGGCCTGCATCCTAAATGTGCAATTTTCCTGCAGAATTTTAGAGAAACAGGACCAGATTGTTCTGCAAAAGAAATGAAAGGATAAAGCATAAGCTTGTGTCTTTGCAAACTTACAAGGAAGGATTTAGGAGCCCAGAACATTACTATTTATTCTTTTTTTTTTCTGTGTATTATATGCCACCTGTTTCTGTTATTTGATGTACAATCCTATGTTATAAAGACAATATTACGCATGCACTACATAACTAGTGCATGTTTAAATGGGGATCATATGTGCCTGACATAAGGAAACTGTTTAACACACCATTTTTTAGTGTTCCAGTTCTTGCATATGTGGTTGGTCAAGGCTCCGGTTCCAATCTTTACCAGGTTCAGGTTATGGAATCAGTCAGTCCAGCAGACTGTCGTCGTCTGTAAGCGCCATGAGGGTCCTCAACACGGGCTCTGACGTGGAGGAGGCTGTGGCGGATGCTCTGGTATGTACCCCTCGCTCCTCTCCCACGTAGACGTGCAAGGGTCAGTATGCGCGTTGTGACGCACAGTCCTTTTCCCGTCTGTCCTTCTTCTTGTGGTTTTTGTATTTGTGTCGGGCAAGTGCCTCATTCAGACCTTTTCGCCACCTTCCTCTGCGAGTGCTTTCCGTGTTGAAAGAGGTCCATCTTGGTTTGTCACGTCTCGGCGCTACCGAAGTTTGTTGCTGTTTCACCCACTCTGGTTTAAGCTGTTCTAACGTCTTTGATTCTATTTTTTTGTGCTATCAGCTGTTAGGAGACATGAGGAGCAAGGTAGAGCTTTGACTTTTTCCCACTCTTGCTTTATTTTCATGCAGTTGGGGGGGGGATAAAACCATTTTGGACCTGAATCCTGGATTGCCTGTCTTTGGCAGATTCGATTGCATTCAGTCATTCTGACTTCTTATTTGAGCCTTGTTCTCGGGATATTGCTGCCCATTTAATTAGAGACCGTGTCCAACGCAATGCAGCTGTTTAATCTTACATCTGTGGTGGGTGTGAATTCCTCTTGTGTGCAGTGCTACATCTTATTTTAATCTTTTCAGTTGGCTTTAGTATGGTAGCGTTTTTGACAGGTGAACGGTGGGTTTAAAAGAAAAGTGTATTATAATAACCGAAGACGAGCCACTAGCAATAGATCCTTCCCTGTGGGGCTCAAGCCGGAATTCCATTCGCGGGATTTTCCGGAGCCTGTTGAGCTTTCGGCCGTCTGCGTTAAAATTGCAGAAGGCAGTAGCCTCCCCCCCAAAGCCCTGAGTTTTTCCTGTCGTGTGCCTGTGGGCGCGAGTGGGGGATATTCACGCCTCCCCGCCTCCGGCAGAAGAAGCCCGCGAGGAGGCGGTACGAGACCTTCGGGATGTACTCGGACGACGACGCCAACAGCGACGCCTCCAGCGCCTGCTCGGAGCGCTCCTACAGCTCCCGCAACGGCAGCATCCCCACCTACATGCGGCAGACGGAGGACGTGGCCGAGGTGCTGAACCGCTGCGCCAGCTCCAACTGGTCGGAGCGGAAGGAGGGCCTGCTCGGGCTGCAGAGCCTCCTCCGGAACCAGAGGACGCTCAGGTCAGTGCCGGGCTCGCTTGGCCTGACTCCGGGTGGGCTTGTGTGACCCCGTCCTGCTGGTTCCCAGCGGCAGGAGGTCCCGGGACGTGCTGCCCCGGCCGGGTCTGGGCTAAGTCGGATCGTGGGTGAGCAGGGTGCGGAAAGCCGGCAGGTACAGGTCTAGGGAAGAACTGAAGGTTAATTCCGGGCTGAAAAATTAAAAAGGAGAAACGAGATCTCGGTCTCCCAAGTCTTCTTCAGGTGCGTCACGCGGTGGGCTCTGCAGGTGGAATGTTTTCGGTTTTTCAGCATGGCATTAACCTCCCCCCGTTCCTGTGCCGCCAGCGTATTCTGGTGCAGCTCCCTGCTCTGGTTCTAGCTGGATCAGAGGTGCCTGCGTCGCCTGTGCGAGCTACATCTCTCATGAGCCCACTGGGCGACCTGCTGTAGTGCGGCCAAGTCGCTAAAGCTTCCTGTCACTTCCAGCTTCCGCGCTCTCGGGGGCTGTGGTTTGGCGTGACAGTCGTGCACTGGGACTCATCCCACACGGAATCTCCGATTTCAGTGGTTCATTTTATGCGGAACTTTTCTCAGGATGGCACCGGACACGAATACCACCCCCTCACCTGAGCACACTTGAGCTCCGGATCTGGAATTAAAATAAACGTTTCCCTTTGTGCCTCATCAGAATTAGTGCGAGTCGTGCGATACGCTCCAACTTGGAAAACATGCACATGGCTCTGCAGTGGGACACTTAGTGCCATTTTGCCCCAAAAGAGCCAAAAAACAGTGTATTGGTCTATTTCAGTGGCTGTGGCTGTGTGCTTTAAAACTGTACCTGGTTATACTGTTGGCATGGTCTTTTACTTGTGGAGGAGCTCAGTTACTTGCTGGAGAATGTTAAACATCAGAGAGGCCGAGTTACACAAACAAAAAGGTATTTTGAGGCTTCATAGGTACAACATGACCCATTACCCATCTTATTTGCATCTCTTTAGAATGCCATGCTTTTTTTTTTTACCAGGTCACAGCGGATGAGTAATACATCGGCTGTGAGGACGTTTTTCATGAGTTTATGCCAAACACATCGTTACAACAGGCACCAGACAGAGACCTGACGCTTCCTAAGATACGGGTGTCGACGAAAAGAGGGGTGTCTGTAAATCATCTGGGTTTATTGCTGTCATAGCCTAATCTGTTTTGTTTTTCTTCTTTACAGCCGCGTTGAACTGAAAAGACTTTGTGAAATCTTCACAAGAATGTTTGCAGACCCGCATAGCAAGGTACCTTATACATTCTGATGTTCAATTAAAATATCCCGTTCTGCCTGATTTTGTTTCTTCCTCCTACGTTTCACGTTAGTCTGTATTTTACGAATCGAAACAGAAATGCTTTTTTCTTTGTTGTGTAGTATTTCCATGAGGCAGCAGTTGACACCTGTCGAAATTCTTTCCCAGTGGAATTAAGTTTGCAAGGCTGTCATGTGATCTGGTGACTTTAGTGAAACTTACTATGGTAACACTTTATTATAGGGTTCAATAATAAACAATAGCAGATCTAGTAAATATTATTAAAGCATGAATCCATAGTAACTCCAAATAAAGGGCTAGTTGCAGATATGTATAAACATTAGTCATCACACATCCCGTGAAATGTTTTTACAGCATTAAAATCTGTAAATTATCACACAACAAAGCTTAGGATTTACATATACAGCATTTATAAAATGCAACATTTTAGGAAGACAGTAGAAGCAAATATTAACTGCATTATAACATGCCTACTATTGTAATACATTATGTAATATGTATCTGTGAGGGGTTAATAAAGGGCTAATTTATTATTGAACATAATTATAAAGTGTTACTGGTCTTACAGTCCAGTTGTACTGTGTTACATGTTTTTTACTTTTGTCATTTCACACAGTGTTTGTCGTCGGTCAGGTTCAGCACGTTTTTTTAAACTCCTGCTAGAACAAAAGAGCCTTTTGACATTCTGATGGAAAAAAAAACTTCGAAACCAGTGTAACAGTCTTATTTCTGAGTTCATGACGTCTCTTCAGAATAATCTGAAATCTACTTTGATTCATTTGAAATGTGGTCTGCCGGTCTTGACTGCAAAATATTACAGAGACGGAGAAATATTACAACTGCTGTTGCAGTTTCTGACATTACCAATGTACTGAGATTGAGTGGTTTTCTGACAATGTGTACAATTGCAAGACCAGTTTGTGTGCCACTCAGTGTCAGTTTCTTGGCTGTGTTCTAATACCAAGAGTTTAAAAGGCAGTCCTGGTGGTCTCACAGTGACTCTGGCTATTCTTTCTTCTTTTGATGAACAAAACCTTTAAAATGACAATCTGTTTTGATCAGAAACTCTTGATGCTTTTCAGTACCTCACACTGTCGGTCATTAACTCCTCAAAGCACCCACAGGAATTTGCCTTGTATTTGAAGACTGTCGGATGGACTTGGGTTGGAAACTCTGGACACTAATTGGTGTTATTTCTCTTTTGCATGCCCTCCCCTGTGTTGGAACTCTCTGTAGAGAGTAAGTTTGTTCAATATTTGTTGGGGACCTGTCCCTTGCATGCTTACAGAATTAACTTTATTTTCATCATCTTGATTGATTAATTGATTGATTGCGCCTGCAGTTCCCTTGTGGTTTAATGAAATGTTGTGGGCCAAAAAGCATTACTAACACTCTGTATAGAGTGTGCATTGTTTACTAATACACTGACATTTCATAGATCGGAGCAATAACTGTATCTAATGATGTTTGGTGCAATTTATCATGAATACGGAATGTGTGTGTGTGTGTTTGTAAAATAAAGTGGTTTTATTTTAATTTATGTGTAAAGATTTAGTTACTCCTGCTAAAACACTAAAATAGGAGCTGCAGGGTATTTGGCATTTGGGAAACTAAAGCAAGGCGACTGTATGTGATGACACTCTATTGTAGTTTAACATCACAAACAGGGCAGGAGAAAATACGTTTAACAAACATTAAGCTTATACCAGGCGATTATAGCAGCCAGTCGAGAAAAAGGTTTTAATTCAACGGTTATTATTCTGAACCTGCCAGTTGTGTAAGGTGAAGCCTACCAACAGCTCCTCTGACACTCCCCCCCCCGTCGGAGCCCTTTGCCTTTCGACGTGCCTCAGCAGTGCAGGAGGGGTGGCGCCGTTTGGAGGAGCAGCGCATCTCTCACTGCAGGAAGCTGGCACGTGCAGGGGGCGCAGGGGCACCCCAGAGCTGCTCGGCTTGTAACGTCTATGGCCGACAGGCTTGAACCAGTGACACCTGGTCTGTGGGTCTTGGCCTGTAATCCGAGCAAAGAGCCTTTACCGGCCGGGCCACTTTGGAGCCTTTCCGAGAGCCGTCTCCCTGGCTGTGGTATGTGGCTTTGTGTCCATAAAAACACCGCGTTCCAGCAAGCAACAACAAGCACACGTTTGGCATCGCATGTCTAAACAGATTGAGGGTCCGTGGCTTGTTGGTAAAACAAATACAGGGACAGTTTCTGCAACAGACATGGCAACCTTTTCTAAATATAGTTTTTTTTCCCCCTGTGTGTCAGTCCTGCCTTTATGAATCTTAATTTGTTCAATGGGAAGTAGAAAACAGTGGTTGCCGTTTGTGCAGGTGTTTGAAAGTCTCAGAGCAGTTGGTCTTTCAGAGCCATGTTTGCATCTTGTCCGGCTGCAGAGCATGATTTGCTGTTGTCGCCAAACATCATGGTGGCTCCCCTTTTCTCGTTTGCCGTTTTTGTTTTCCTGCATGTAATGCGTTATTTCAAAATCTTTCTGCAGACGACTAACAGTGGTAATTCGGAGTAGGAGACGCCATGGCAGTGAAAATCCTTGCCCGTGTTTCTAGACCGACCTGCTTTGCTGCACAGCACCTCTGCCCCACGGGCCGCTCGTCAGCTTGTCCGAACTGCCCCCCCTCCTCCAGTCAATATGTCTGCTCCTGGCTCTCATTCGTAGGTGTTCAGCATGTTCCTGGAAACGCTGGTTGACTTCATCCAGGTCCACAAGGAGGATCTCCAGGACTGGCTCTTTGTGCTGCTAACACAGCTCTTAAAGAAGATGGGGGCGGACTTGCTCGGGTCCGTACAGGCCAAGGTCCAGAAAGCTTTGGATGTCACAAGGTAAATTGTGTTCTGTCTATGTGGATGTTTTGAAAAGCCTTGAACCTGTAGCAACAAAAGCATTTTCATGTTGACTGGTACTTCTGGATCGGTGATTTCACAGACCCTAATTATCTCTCGTCCTTGATTTACCTAACGCCACCTTAGCGAGCAGGTCAAGGACTATTGGTGATCAGGACCTACAAATGACCCCTTAGGTTTGTTTTTCATTTGTGTTTGACTTCAATGGTTTAACATTCATAAGATGTGACTATTTTAGTTACATTAGATCAAAAGCAATCCTGTGTTTAAAAATAGTTCTTAATGACAAACTCCCGGCAGTTACCAGTTTTGCTGTATGGCAAATGGTTTTCCGAGATTATTAAACTGCAGGTGTATCAAAATCCCACACGTAAAGTTAACTTGAGAAAAGTAGCAACTTCAAGGGTCATGACTTATCCCTTTTTTCCAAGGTGCCTTGTAAATGTTCTTAATTGTAAAATTCTTTAGGACATTTTCAGTAAACGTCGTTTGTCTTGAATGAAATAAAAATGTGTACCAAATAGATGTGATTGCTTCCTAAAATTAAAAATTATTACCAATGTTATTTAGCTTTTAGAGTACATTTCAGAGTAGAGTAGTTTCAGCTTCCGGGTCCGTTTATGCACTGTTCATTAGTCTAATGCATTTTATCAACACTTGATTAAATGATCTTAACTTTTTCACAGTAGTTCTTATGAAGTGGGATTTGTCATTCACTCTGCCATTTTTCAGTGTTTGTCTAGACCATCCTATCAGCATTGCTTCTGCAGGAGTTCTGAAGGCATCCACAACCTCATCCTCCATTGGAAATGGAAAGGCTTTCTGAATAAACTTGCCACCTCTCTGATTGCAGGGAGTCGTTTCCTAATGATCTGCAGTTTAACATTTTGATGAGGTTCACAGTGGACCAGACTCAGACACCTAATCTGAAGGTTGGTACCAATAACGGCTGTGTGCAGCAATGCTGCAGCAAGCAGGTCCTCTCCGTTTTTCTTCCTGAAGGGTCTTGAACCAAAACATACAAGCATGACTCACTGTGTTTGGGGCCACAGCATGCACTGTCTCAAAGTTTAGATGCAGGTCTACCACAAGGTTTTGCAGCGCACACATGTTCAGAGTTTGAGAAATGCACCTGAGCCGCCTCAGATCGTGTCATCGTCTTGTGATAAGACGAAGGGAAACGGATTTAAATTAATTCATTCAAGAGTCACTGCTATTCCTGTCAGGTACGCTACTAATAGATTTTAAACCAAGTCTATAACGTGACTTGGAACGTGAGTATTAGGTGATCTCTGATGACATCGGGGCCAAAGCGCACTGAGATAACACTCCTGAAATTTTCACACTGAGGCTTTTCAGAGGGGAAACTGCAGTTGTGTGGCAGGAAAGATGAGTGTCCAGTCCAGATTGCTGCAATGTTTATGATGTTAGCCTGCACCCTCTGCCAATGAACGGGCCCAAATTCTGCAAATTGCTGAGATTTTGCAGGTCCTGTTTTCCAGGTATATCTGTTCAAAGAAGTATTCGGTTGTACGTTATGCTAATTTACTCTGAAATTCTCACCTTTCTAACTCGGTGCCCTTTTCTTGGGACTGTTATGATCGCACACAGCATCATTCTGTATGATGTGAAGTTGGTGAAGGGCCATATGTGAAACTGGAGTACAACCAGTCCGGGAGTGCGGGTCATTATTTTGAGAAATTATGAACACCCACACGGGTTGTTTTGTCATGCAGAGACATCCCAAGTCAAACTTGGGAAATGGGATTTGGGCTTGTTTTTAAAAGGTGTTTCCCTGGAGGAAGTTCTCGATTGCTGGATGTTGGGGGTTCTTACATTACCTCCAAGCTCTAGATGACATCCCTGTGTCCAGACACAGAAGTATGTAGGGTTGCTTGTGAGACTAGTCCTGTTCGCGCAGATTTAAGCACGCTTTATGTACTGGTTAAAAAACACAAAAATATGGAATTTTGTTTGGGGGAGGGGTGTTGTCTTGTGGTCACTCAGATTGCTGGCAGTACAAGCCTGGTGGTAGCAGTTCTGATTTAAGCGCACAACTTTCTGAAGCAGAGAAGGTTTCATGTGGTAGAGCCAAGAAAGAGATCTCTATAAGAGCGTTTCTGGAGTCCTGATGGAATTCTAAGCACTCTGCTGTGACTGGTGTGTCCCAATTCTCCAGGGCCTAATTTTGTGTTAATAACTCCAGAGCCTAAGTTGTTGCTTCAGTTTTAAACTGCCATTTTGTACCTATTCGGTGCATGAAAATCACTAACAGCTCTCTAAAGATCTGTATCTCATATCACGCCTTCCAACCAATTCTTCCAGTCCTCCCAGAGAAACTGCTTTCGAAACCTTGATTAGAATAACAGTCTTCTGGTATTGTAGAAGCTTTTTGTCTTTTGGTGTCCTCCATGTTTATGCTGACATTTTGGACAGGTGAAGTACGCTATCCAGTAGACCTTCCTGAGCCTTGTTATCATAGTCCCGTCTTCTCTTGGGCGAGACGCAAAAGTAGGGTGTTGAACTTATGTTCTTCTGTAGGAATGGCAGATTGGAGTCAACCATGAGTTGAGTTTCCAAACACAGGGAAGCGTCCTCTTTTTACATTCCTCAGAGCAAAGTGGGCTCCCTGCTTTCACCTGCCTCTTAGGCCAAGAGGAGGAGCCTAGAGCTTTGAAAACAGTACCATTCGTTTAACTGGCATGGGGTTAATTGCCAACGTCTCCTTAAGAGCTACGCTGAATAAAAAACGTCATTTCTCCGGTTAGTAAAATTATTCCCCGAAGAAATATTTAAAAACCAGACTCGCTGTTTAACAGTACAACGAGACCTTGCTTCCGAAGAACGCGAATGTATTTTTTTGATTGTTGCCACCCATTAACCCCTGTTTTTTCTATATCGTTTGAGACCTAACATGCTCACTTCTCATTCGCTGCGACTTCCCTGCGTCCTGTAATTTCCAAAGCTCAGAGCCGCTACGCCAATACTTGTGTTCAGTTGAGGGCGCGCCTCATGTCTTTATTTCCAGCCGCACCCCTGCCCTGAACACGCCCCTTTCCCAGAGAGGGGTGCTCCGGCTCCTCTTGCGAGTTTCCTCCTTTTTAAATTTCCCCCGCCTCCTTCAACCAATTTCCCCCCCCCCCGCAGTCTGAGCTGTCTCTCTGTGCCTGTCTTTATAATCCGTGCCCTCTCCTCTCTCTTTCTAAAGCCTGCCCGGAGGCCTTGCAGGTACGGGGCAGCTCTAAAATTGCTTCCCCACTGCCACAGAAAAACAACGCGCCACACTTGCACACTGCAGGAGCAAATCCAAGTGTGGAACCAAGCAGCGCAGGTTAGTGTCGCTGTGGGGAAGCAATTTTATAGCTGCACTGTCAGGGGAGTTTTCTGAAGGAGACGATAAGCAAGCGCAATGAAGATAAGAGACGCAAACGGCGATTTAAAATGGAAGCACTATAAGAAGAAGATGGTGAAATGTCGCTGGACTGAACGTTTTTTGTTTTTCCATGGTAATACCTCTAGCCTTAGGGAGTGTTGTACCTCATACCTTTCATGCCCCTGGAAATTGGTCATTATTATTATTATTATAATGACCCTGTGCCTGACAGTAGAAAGAGCTCGATTGCTTAAAATTGCTCATGGAAGCCTTCGGTTCCATGTTCCTGTGCAAAAGGAGATGCGTTTTAGAGAGATTATGTGTATTTTTTCTATGCAGAATTTTATACCCGGTGTTCCAGAGTTATTTCTAGTAGAACAGTATGGTTGTGAGCCCTTCAGGGTATACTATTTTGGCTTTTGTTGATCCTGAACTTTGTTAAATTCTCCAATTATTGACTCTACTAAAAGGGGCATTTGGACTTGTCATGTCTCAGTCACTCCTCCATGGATATGTTTCCTGCTTTTGTGATGAGGAGTCTTGCGATGGCTGTGGGATGCCCAGGTGAGGGGTTTTGTCTGGCTTTGAGCTCGTGCAGTTTCAGGGTGTAGTCTGAGGTCACCTGCCAGCAGCAACAGCACAATCAACTGAATTTGCAGGAGTACCCGCTTGTGTCTGTCTGAGCTGAACGTGTCTTTTTTTTTTAAAAAGAGGTTGACGGTGCAGCATGTCTGTTAACCTCTGCGAGGCATTTAACCTCCTGCCCCTGTATTCTGTTCCGTCTTGCTACTGTGGAGGAGCCAGGCACACGGGCAGTTAAATCGCAACTGGCGTGCAGGGGTTTGGGCCGCACAGTTTTTCCACCAGTAAGTGGTTGCGAAGCATCCCTTATGCACAGCGGTCCTTTCCGGAGTCATCCTGCAGGGGTGTCCCGTCAGTGGCTGCGTTGACCTTTGACCCCGAAACGAGGCGGGCGGAGCTCATCGGCACCCGTACGCAGCCGATCGGTCGCGCGGCCTCCCCCAGGAGCTGAAAGCTGCTGTGTTTGTGGCTCCCCACCCCCGGCAGGTGAAAGTCGCCATCCTGAAGTACATCGAGACCCTGGCCATGCAGATGGACGCGCCGGACTTCGTCAACTCCAGCGAGACGCGCCTGGCCGTGTCCCGGATCATCACCTGGACCACGGAGCCCAAGAGCTCGGACGTGAGGAAGGTACAGCAGCCCGCCTCACGGGGGGGGGGGTCTCGTCTGGGCGTTCCTAATGGTTCTGTGAAAAACTGGGAAATGAGTCTTTTCACGGGTAGGATTCTTCTTAACATTAGCAGACTACCCAGCAAGCCTCACAGTTAAATATACATATATTTATGAATATATACAGATCAGCACAATAATGCAAAAGTGCCATTCTCTCAGGAGCGGTCGATATATGCCAGTATGCATTAATAGTAATAGAAACATTGAACATATATAGGGTTCTGATTCACTTAGAGGAGGGTTTCATTCTAATTAGTATTGTAGTATTGGGGTATAGCATTTTCTTTTCTGTTATTTATCAAGGAGTGTGTGCACTCCCGGGGGTAGTGCAGTGAACGGCTGCAGTCCTAGGGCTCTCCCCATCGTGTCTGAGGACAGGATTAAAGGCAGGTGGGGGCAGCAGCTGTCTGAGTCGTCACCGGCGTGATGCTGAAACCAGCTCGGCCCCCTCAGTTCAGCACGAGGGGGTGATTGACGTTCCTGTCCAGGCTCTCCTGGCAGTCCTGGATGAGCACAGTGGGGACACTGTGTGCCGAGTACTGTCCTCGAAAACCTTCCCGCTCAAACATAAACTAGAGGGATACCTTGCCGGCTGTTGGAAATTCTTTCTCCTGTCACAGTTCCAGTTTTCCTGCTGTTTTCTTCAGCGTTTGATAGTGAGATACGTGTATGGTTTGGTGCCATGTTTTTGCATGATGGCAAGGGACAGCTATATTAAAAGCCTGAATGTTTGTCTGTAGTGGGAATTAAAATACAAGGCGACGCCAGTCGAGTAACAGTTTTTGGTACCGTAACATGGTTTTGTTTCTCTGGTTTGTTGTAGTCGTGACATTGACTGTGACATTTCATCCGGAACGCCTCATTTGGTTTTCCTTCATGTACTTCAGAAAAACTTTAAAAATGAAAACTCTTTATGTTCGCTCTGGTCTTTTTTAAACTGCGAGTGTTTTGTGTGTGGGGGGGGGGGGGGGGCAGGGGAGTGTTTTTCATATTTTTTTCTTGCAAGTAGTCAGTATTGTCCCTACCAGACCAACAAAATAAAGTCTGGTCAAATATACACATGTGATGTGCATTCACACGTGTTGTTGTTCTAAACAAGACAGCTAAGACGTTTCATGCAAAAAGAGGAGCTTTCTGTAGAGAGATGTGCTCTTCCCCACTGTCAGAAAACGTTGTGCAGAGGATAATGTAAGAAAGCAATAGAAGCAGCAGTGGAAACAGATCTTCTTCAGGACCTGGAGCACACCTGGCAAAGACATTTGAAAAAAGAGACAGTAAAACCTCAATGTTCACCATTTCTGCATTCGCTTTCTCGCCTAGTTGCACAAGCCTTATCAAGTAAGTGAGAAGGGCTGCATGTCACCTCTCTTTTAAATAAGTAATGAATGGGCTTGTCCAGATCTCCCTTTGATTTTGCTTGTTGCTGTTTTTGCAATTGAGACGTACTTAAACTAACAAGAAAGTTAGTCAAACTTTTCATTTAGTTGTGCTATGCTTGTTTCTCATCTCTCTGTATATTTGCAGAGCCTTTAGATTTTTCCCCACCTGAATTGTTTTTTTTTCCCTCCCCAGTTACATTTTCTTGAGTCATGTTAAAACTGTGGGTGGAGTTCCGTGTTTCCACCTCAAATGACCAATTCAGGCCCCAGTGTCGGAAATGCAGTTTGTGAATGAAGGGACCGGTAGTGTCCAGTTTGGTGAAGGAGAGGAGACTTTGTCTAGAATGGACAGCAACGGGTCTGTGATTTTGTGTTCTAGGCTGCCCAGGCGGTTTTAATTTCCCTGTTCCAACTCAACACCCCCGAATTCACCATGCTGCTGGCCGCGTTACCAAAAACGTTTCAGGACGGCGCCACCAAACTCCTGCAGAACCACCTGCGCAACAGCGGCAACTCGGCTCAGGTGGGAAACCCAGGAAACGGCGCTTGGCATTGTGGGAAGGAACGATGGCACCATCGCATGTCGCCTCTCCGCCCCACACTTTCCATTCGAGCCAGAAGCTCCAGGAGAGCTGTTCGTTGAGCGAAGGGCGGGGCGCGTGTTAAAATGCTGTGTCCTTGTAGTGGGCAGGCGTGGAACGCTAGAGGCAGGTTAGAGCTCGAGGCGACGTGCTTCTGGACGCGTGTGATGAACTCTCTGTTTCAGGCCCCCACTGGCAGCCCTTTGATTCGCCACACGCCGCGCTCTCCTGCCAGCTGGTCCAGCCCTCTCACCTCCCCGACCAGCTCCTCGCAGCTCTTACCGAGGTGAGAGTCCCCCTCCCGGCGACCGTGGAGCCCCCCAGCCACAGAGCTCCATCAGTCTTTCATCAGCCCGCCCTCCGGGGCCTGTTCCCCGACAATCGTGGCCTTCCGGCGGGGCCTGCTTGTCTGTCTGTCTGGGTTAAGACCCTTGTATTGGTTGTCCCCCAGCACTGCGTTTGACTACGACACAGAAAACATGAATTCGGAGGACATCTACAGCTCTCTGAGGGGAGTGACGGAGGCCATCCAGAACTTCAGCGTGCGCAGTCAGGAGGACATGAACGAGCCCGACAGACGAGAGTCGAAGAAGGACGGGGAGGGAGAAGCCGTAAGTTCGGGACTGGAAGCGGGCAAGGATGATGGGAGGGAATAGTTCTGGATGTTGATAGGTATAATAAATACGAGTATAAAGCTTAAAAACCTGCATTAATAGTTGAATTTTTAAAAAAGGCAAGCCCCACTGAATCGAGTCACGTGTGCAATATTATTTTCGAAAGCTTCCTTTTAAGAAGGCTGCCTGCACTTCAGTAAGGTTATTGCTCAATACCTCTAAGATTATTTTTAGCCTCGTCTTTAAGTTCAGAAGTGCAGGTTACAGACAACCTTTCTGATGTTACTGTGGAATAATATCCAAGCACGTGGTGGGTGTAAACACAGGGCAGACGCGTGGGCATGAACTTCTGTAAGGCACAGTCACTTTCCATGATTAATGGTCTGGATGTTCCCCGAAACGGAACCATGTGTACTTCTAAATGGAAGGGTCCCGACGGTCCGAAACTGCTCCGATGACATTGGACCTCGCACCTTGTGAATTCTCTATTTTTGGCCTGTTTGTACTCTGGGTGGTAATTTGAAGTGGTTGGGGGTTGCTTGATTTTTTTTTTCAGAACTTTTTTTTTACCATTTTTCGCCAATGTTTAATAGTGTGGCCAGTTTACAAGACATTCCAGCCAGACTTGAAAAACTCTTCCCCTCCCCCCCACGGGTGCTGGTACTCTCCCAGGATTGCCGAACGCGTCTTCGAATGCTTTCCCCCCCCCGTGCGAGACGGCGCGAGGCTCTCTCGCGCCCCTGTCGTACTCATCCCGTCTCTCCGTGTGCTCTGTGCTGAAGGTGGTCGGCGGCGTCCATGACCCGCGGGGCGGCGGAGACGCCGTCGACTCGGGCCGCACCGCCCTGGACAACAAGACCTCCCTCCTCAACACCATGCCCCTGCAGCCGGCCAGCCTGCGCTCCCGCGACTACAACCCCTTCAGCTACTCCGAGCCCTACGGCCGGGCCTTCAGCAAGACCGCCCTGACGGAGGCCGTGTTCGACGACGACGCCGAGCAGTTCCCCGAGGGTGAGTCTCGGGTCTCCCGTCCGCACTGCCGCCCGTCAAGGGAGTCGGGAGTCTGGCTGACCTTTCTCAGAGGGCTGCCTGGCTCGGCCTGCGCTTCCCGAGACAGGAAGGCATTTGAAAAGGTTATTCTAGGGGAGAGGAGGATAGCATTTCAGTCAAGAAAAGAAATCGGTCATCCCTCCTGGAAAGGACCTTTTCTATCTGCAGTGCAGGAGTTGAAATGATAGAAAGCCTAGTTCCCTTGCAAGATGTTATTCTCTCTCAGTTCGCTTTTGAAGTTTTTTGCCTCCTAGTTACTAGGGTATGGAGTGTAAATGCAGGCTGTTGCTCAAGTGTTCAAAAGAAGTTGAAATTCAAATGATTCGTTATTAAAATGATTGGTAAAGTTAAAAATAATTCTCGGAATCTTCCTAGATTTCTTTAAAAAAAGAACAGATTGATCGCCGCGCACACAGAGCGGTCATCTGTGTTTTTAAAGCGGACTTGTGTGAGCTAGAAGAGATGTGTGTGATGAAACAGTCATCTCACCCTCCCGGGTTTCATTTTACTGAAGTCTGTGATGTGATTGGCAGGTGTTGGTAGCAGGTTGTCTTCACAGTGTCCGTACAAAACGGCTAATCCATCTGAATCAATTGGAAGATATTTTTTTTACAAAACGGTCTGAATGTCTGACAACGTGGAGCAATTAAAATTTTGCAAGAAATCTCTTTCCCTTCATATCGCAAACCGTACTGACCCGTCCAAGAGGACGTTCAGTTTTAAGTTTGCACCTAGTGCCGAAAGCTGGTTATAATACATGCGACAATAATCTTGCATAAAGTATCAGAGTGGTACGAAGGTGGGATGTTTCCTGTATTAAATACGACGCCTGAGCTGCGAGGTTGCGCGTCTCCGATTCCATTTCCTGGAGTTCTGGGCGGCCCGTCTGACCCCTGTCCGTCCTGCGGGCTCCCACAGGCAGCAAACTGGACCAGTCGGAGCTGGTGGCGGAGCTGCTGAAGGAGCTGTCCAACCACAACGAGCGCGTGGAGGAGCGCAAGGCGGCGCTGTGCGAGCTGATGAAGCTGATCCGCGACGACCTGCTGGCCGTGTGGGACGAGCACTTCAAGACCATCCTGCTGCTGCTGCTGGAGACGCTGGGCGACAGGGAGGTACGCCTTCACGCGTGTGACCCCCCCATCTCCAATTAGACTCCTTTCTCTTTGTCGTCCAGTCAGATTGCAGATTTGTGTTTGGTTTCGCCTGTCCCAACAGTACCATCACATTTCAGCAGTGGAATCCACAAGCACACGGTTCATCAAGACGGATTAAAGAAAAGTAAAACGTCAGACATGAAAATCAAGCATTCACAGACCAAATCAAACTGGTACAAACAGATAAAATATCATGAACAACTTGTGTTCAGTACTTGCAGGGGCTAGGGGATAAAAAGGACCTTTTATTCATATTTCCCTAGGGACCGCCGTCCAGATGCAAGCATCACAAACTGAACAATTTCAGGGGGTGGGAGGTGTCTTGAATGATACTTTTTGCCACCGTATGTAATGCACGACGTGCTGTTGTTATTGAGGCTGAATCGCTGCCCTTTTCCCCACAGCATGTGATCAGAGCTTTGGCTCTGAGGGTGCTGAAGGAAATCCTCAGCAAGCAGCCCACACGCTTCAAGAACTACGCGGAGCTCACCATAATGAAGACGCTGGAGGCCCACAAGGATCCCAACAAAGAGGTCGGTCACGGGTCACGGGTCACGGGTCACGGGTCACGGGTCACGGGTCACGGGTCACGGGTCACGGGTCACGGGTCACGGGTCACGGGTCACGGGGGAAGGAAAGGTTCTTGCGCTGTCACCGGGGATTGGAGTTGTGTTATGCGGTGTCACCCTTCTGCTTTTTTCGATTCAGCGCGAAAACTGTGTTTTGCGCCTGTTCCCAGTTAGGGGAGGCAAAGCCTGATGATTTCATGGTTAGAAAGGGCACAAAAATGAGGGGCCCATTCTGCCTATTTGAACATTTGGGTTTCAAGCAGCTAGCTAGCTGCAAACTTTACTGTTCTGTATTCCCACTATCCCACTAGTTTTATTACTCACTGTTGTGTTTTGCATTGCACAGCCAGCTTGTGCCATCAATATTATCCTATGAGCCTCAACAAGTGAAATGTTCTCTGGTCACGGTACAGTGCTTACATACGCCACTGTAGGTCAGGGCATTGATCTTTATAGTGACGGAATTTCAAATCCTGCTTTCAGGAGCCTGGTTCTGTTTTTTTTTTATTCCACCTTCCCCCCTCAGTCATCTTATTAATCAATTTATTTTAGTTCTAGGTTTTTTACTGTTGTTTTAAAAGGATGCACTTGGTTAGAGGTAATCGGTAAGACATTCAGAAAAAAGTGTTGAATCTTTCCTAGTTCATCAATCCGACCTCAAGTAAGGTGCATAACCCAGATGTAAGGAAGGCTTTTCAGTTCTCTAGTAACTGATTTGTCATCCGTTGTATAGGAGCTGGAACAGCTAAGTGCAATTCAGCGGCAAAATAATGGAATTTCTCAGTGGAACTTGATTTATTGACATGTCCGCCAGTACTTCTTCAAGAAAAGAATCCAATTACAGCTTTGTATTTTCGGTCTTTAAACCTTTCTGAAAAAAAGATCCATCTCTCCCGAGCGTTCGTCACGGCACTTGCTGGTGTATCTGATTGCCGTCAAGAAGATTGAGCTGCTGTTTTATATTTTAAGGTTCATATGAAATAGTCCAACGCCTGGAGAGATGGTGAGCTCCTGCTTGTGAAAGTTTCAGGCAGGTAAAATAAGTAGCTGTAAAGGTTTTTAACTTCTTACTGACTGGTTGGATAGATAAACATTTGACGAGTCGTGGTGATAAAGTTTATAATCATCCCATGGGCTTACCCTTTCTTTGTCCTGCTTGTGGAAGTCTTTTATGGGTTTTGCGGTTTCAAGGAGTCCCGTGCTCTGTAGAAGGTGCCCTGGCCCAGTCTGTGTCTAAGGATGTTTCAATGTCGGCGCAGGTGGTTCGAGCAGCAGAAGACGCAGCAGCGATGCTGGCGACCTCCATCAGCCCGGACCAGTGCATCAAGGTGCTGTGTCCCATTATCCAGACGGCAGACTACCCCATCAACCTGGCCGCCATCAAAATGCAAACCAAGGTCATTGACCGGGTCCCCCACGACACCCTCAACCAGCTCCTACCCGAGATCGTCCCTGGATTAATACAGGTATGCAGCTCGGCTCCTGGAGTCATATAGAATGGAATGTCACGACATTGGCGAAGCGGTTAGCTTTGTATCCTCACAGCACTGGGGCCTCAGGTTCAATTCCTGGAGTGCTAGCTGTGTGGAGTTTGTATGTTCTCCCTGAGCCTTCCACAACTCAAAAGACATGCTGGTAGGATAATTGGCTTCTGGGAATAGTGGCCCTGCTGTGTGTGTAGCCTGTGGTGGACTGGTGTCCCACCCAGGGTGTATCCTGCCTTGTGCCCATTTCTTGCCAGGATAGGCTCTGGTGCCCCCATGACCCTGCCTTGGAAGAGGTGGTTAAAATAGATTGCTGGAAGCCCTGAACCCTGATGCATCTAAATATCGAAATCGAAATTTTAATCTCACGTCGTTCTGCTGAAGAAAAATGAAAATCGATCAACGTCCAATGAATCAATTGAACACTTGGTCATCTGGAACTGTGGCCGAAAACTACAGAACGTTGTGTATTGAAACCTTTGCTTCCTGTCTGCTAAGAAAGCCTCCAGATTTGTTTGCGTGTGGGGTGATCAGGACTGGCGAAGCGATGATGCCGTTGAAACCTCTGTAGGCTTCAGTGTTTCCCCCTCCCCCCCAAACTGACGATGTTTCCGTTCATCCTGGTAGGGCTATGACAATTCGGAGAGCAGCGTGCGCAAGGCCTGCGTCTTCTGCCTCGTCGCGATCCACGCCGTCATCGGAGAGGAGCTCAACCCACACCTGAGTCAGCTGTCCAGCAGCAAGGTAAACTCCTCCTCCTGCACAGCGCCGGGAGAGACGGGGCTGAAAGCACTTGACACAGCGGGCTTGAGCCCGACTTCATGGAGCTGCAGAAGTAGCCACCGGCCCTCTTCTCTCTGACCTTACCGGTGGAATCAGTGAGGGGTTTGTTTTGTATCAAAACCCCAAGTGCACGCTGACCGAATGATTCATAGCATTACCGATTTTAAATTTGAAGAATCGATCTCCCTGGCGTCAGATGTCCTGTTTGCAAACTGCGGCGATTCCAGATCACCTGTCTGATTGCAAACAGCTCTGCGGGGATTGAGCGATCCCACTCTTTTGACAGTCCTTCCAGAACCAGGGTTGGGGAGGCTCTGCTGTGCACCGATAGTCTGTCTTTCAGATCTGTCTGCTACTGAAACACAGGGTTGTTTGCATTTAGTTTGAGCTGTGCTAGGACAATAACGCCTTAATCTTGCTCTCTCTCCCCCCCCCCCCAGTGGAAGCTGTTGAATTTGTACATCATCCGATCTAAGAGTGGCTCGACCGGCGGCGACCCCACAGCAGACATGGCGGGCCAGGGCTTGTAAGGCAGAGAACCATCGAGCAGCGGCCAGAGGCTGGGGCTCACTGGCAATCGGGCTGCCGAGCCACGCCCACCACCTCTCTTAACGACAGTGCTTCTCCTCCCCGTAATTTCTAACCGGATGGACCTCCATCCCATCTGCATGTTAACTGTCACACTAAGCTGTCTGGAATCGAAGAAGGGGGGTACAGTATTAGTGTTCGCTCATCAAGAGAAGAGAAAAAAAAAAACCCGATCAGTTTATCGAGTATTCTGGTCGATTTTGATTTTAAAATTCCTATGTAATATAAAAAAAAAAAGCGTGCTGGTAGCTGAAAGTTCTCTCGTGGCACCGCCAGACTAAATGCAGTGCAGATGGCCTAATTCCTAGACTGGACACTCAACACAGCCATCAGGCTGGCACTGAATAAACGCCAGTCACTCAATAGCTCACTCGTGGATCCTTAACCACCATACAGAGAACTAAATAAACCGAAGTCTGGTAACGTTTTGGCTTTTGTCTTTGTCGGCGTTAACTCTTACAGGTCATGTCCAGCCGCTGGTTTAGAAGATTAAAAGTGAAGATTCGCACAGCCTTTTGCTTCGATTTTTTTTTTTTCCTAACAAAGAAAACAAGCCACTCGTATCGCAAAAACGTCACTTAGAAATGCGCATTGCCCTCGTGATTCAGTTCTGCAATTTATAGTTACAGGTTTCTTTGAACTCAAAAGGCTGCTTTTGTGGGAGAATAAAAGTAGTTCTAGTATCATTCTGGGATGAAAAGCTTTGTCATTTTGCCCTAAGGTATTTTTTCTATGGATTTTATGATTAAATGTTTGAGATTCCTGGATGGATTACGGAATACCTGAAGCATTTTAAGTTCTTGCATAGTAAAAGGAAGATGGCCCTAACAGAATCATTTCCTGTCTGTGGATCAGTTATTCAGTCTGCATGTCTGGTAGGCTTTGCTGACTGAGTGGATGGATGTCATCTCTAGATGCCTGTGATTTTCTTCAATCGAAACGCCTGAGTGGGTTTCACTGGTCAAGCACTGGTGTGTTTCTGTCTCCTCTCAAAAAGTTTAGCGGAAATTGGGCAGAAGATGCCGAGCTATTCATTTGTTCTTGCAAAATGGCATAGGTACCATGAAAGTTCTCTTAAGCCTCTCATTTTCTTCAGTGGTATTACATCTGCATGGTTATACCCGATATACAAGGAAACATTCCTTCTTTTTCACTTGCATTGGTGCTTTCAGTGGATTGCATTGGTATCTTACTGTCAGCCTTTTAACAGTGGCTAACTCCGAGTTCATTTTAAGGAAAGGACACCCTCCCATCTTAGAACGGTGGATCTGGACAAGGTGTGTGGTTACAGGGACACTCCAGAAATGTTCATATATATATATACATTTAACAAGCTTCTAATGTGTGATGAGCAGTTTTTGCTAGGGTACTGCCAGTTGCAAATGTGTTTTACCTGAATTCAGAAATGAGGTCTGTGTTGCAGTAGGTGTCTGCACAGTGGTACGTTCCGAAGGGGAGTTAGGAATATGTCACAGGTCAAAGTCTGCATGGTGGTTAACTTCTCAGTGACTTTGTTTGGGCACGGGTAAACTCTTTTCTGATCCCTTCCGGTTCTGTTTGACGGGACGTCCCAACACTCTGACCCCACGCCGTGCATTTCTGGGCGCTTTCTGAACCTCCGTTACTCGCGGCTGCTTTCGTGCTTGATGTCATTTCCTGTCCAGGGGGGAGCGATTCCGATGGCGTACAAGCGTGTCCGGATATTGGCAATCATTTCACGAGATCCAAACAAAAAAAAAAAACAAGGTCAGTTTGTTTGGCAGTTTGTTTCCCGGAGGTAAAAAGTCAGCATTGATCCGATTTGTTTTTCTGTTGTGGCAAAAGTAGTCTCTTTTTTCTTAAATGAGAAAGAAACTTGTAGAAATGTATCTACTGACATGAAAGGCGAAACTCTTGTCAATGTCTCCTTTTTTTAATAGTCACTTTTTTTTTGTTTTCCTTCCTGTGAGTGTAACATTCTAGTTTCCACTGTTGTTACTTTTTGTGTATTTATAGATCTGTGCTTACAGTTGTGCATATACCTGCAATAAAATTGTACATAACATTACCTGAGAGACAAGCCCCCGAGCTTTGTTTTTATTCACCTTTTGAGGTCTTGAGGCTCGATTCTGTTCACGTTTGTTGTTTTTTTTGTTTCAGCAAAGAGTAAATGAAGCTGAAACGTTTTTCGTGGTTTCGCTTTAGGTTCTGTTTTCCAGATGGAAAGAGTAAGGGGTTTATAATGTTTGCTGTTCATTAGTTCACATCCTGCGAGCTGGAAGCTCTGCTGGCTGTTAAAAGGACGTGTTCAAGCCGCCACATACTAGTTCCAGCTCAGATAGCCATCTGAAGAAATGTGTGAACGGCAAACACAACTCAAAACATCTCAATATCACTATACCTAGGTGTACAGTTTTGCCTTGTGTATTACTAAACAAAACCCTGGACTTCTAAGTGCGTTTGCACGACAAAACAGGTGCTGCCATCGACATTGCTTCTTGAGCTGTGACTGAAAACCCACCCTAACCCCATGGGTGTACTCGTATATCCACAGGTGGATGGCTGCGGTTTGCTTGTACCGGCCATCTACCCTCTCGACCCAAAGCCTCCAGTGCAAGTTGAAAGCGGGGCACAATATTCACATTATCGAACCCCAGCCGGAGCTCTGCGCCACACACGCTTTCTGGCCCCCAGGGAAAGCCGTGAAACTTTGACAACGGAAACGCGACACGCCTGAAGTCATCAAAACGTTACACTCGGTCGCCAGGAAGGAAGTTCGGAGAAGACTCGGGAAACTCACCAGTATCCGGTCCCAAACAAAGATTCCGAGCTCTTCAAACATATCTGTGACCACTTGACTGGTCCCTATCTGACTTGCGGGGGTGTCAGAAGGAAATGCTCGTGTGAAAACACACCCAGGGGGGCTTCCTGGGAGTCGCCCGCAGGTTGGAGAGATGAACAGAGCGGTGGTCGGTGTTCAGCACTGCGGACAGCTCCGCGTTGCCGGAAGGCAACAAGACCGTATAAAGAATAAATGCTCTACAA